TCTGTCACTGAGCTAGCCGTTCCCCATATGCATGCACAGTTCAGCTTCAAGCCTAACCACTGAGCTACTGTAACATAAGACTTGGACTTATGTATAAACCAGAAGGCAGGCACTTGATCCCATCCAGATATTTTGCACTACAAGTTGCATAAGACCCAGGCAATATGGTCAATGATCAGGGATTATATCAGGGGTCTCAAACTCGCGGCCCACGGGCCAATTGCCGGAACGGGCGGGGCACGGGGGAGGGGCCCTGCGGCCTTCAAAGCACCAGCGGTGCCCGGGCCGGCCGCGGGATGAGCGGCCCACCACCTCCGCAGTGGTGGAATACTTGATGCGGCCCAGCCTCACCCAGACTCTACTTCCAGCGGCCCCCAGGTAAGTTGAGTTTGAGACCCCTGGATTATATAGTCCAGTACATCTGGAGGGCACCCAGTCCCCAGTCCAGTACCTCTTCTCATGGCATACCTGTGCTACTAACTTAGATTGGCTTGGTATCCTTTTAGCAAACATGGCTTCCCCTGAAGAATCTTGAGAATTTGATTTGATTAGAATTTGATTTGATTTGTTGAGAATTCTCTTACAGAGAACTCCACGTGCACCCTTAGAAACTAACCTTGTTCTAGATGACTGTAGTAGTTTAAATCTGTGATGTTGTTATGCCTTAACTCTCAGTTCCCAGTGATGACTGCATCTCTCTCACAAAGGAATATAATTTCCCTTGTTGCATTATGTAAAGTTTCTTTCTTGTTTGACTACTCAGCATGTCTTAATTATGATAAGAGTCCAAAAGCTGAAATACTAATGAGGTAAGTCTGTGGGTTTGTTGGAGTCTGATGCAGTTGCATACTCTGCCAACATCTTTAGAAAGGAAAAAAATGATCCTCTGCAAAGGCTTTTAAATTTTCTGTTTCTTTATCACTACTCATAAAGTAGTGTTGAGCTACAAGTAAACAGCAGTAAATTCAGATTGTTACTAGCATCCTGTGCAAGAAGCAAGAATATAATTCTGCCCTGCATTGCTGTTATTGCCCTACCTGCATTGTAAAACTGCCTAACTGGCAAATAAGATGATTTTCAGAACTCTACAAACCACCACACACGCCATAGTTTAGATCAGTTGCTATGCAGCTTTGGAAGAACTTCAACCAGTTTCAGTTGTGTGCTTAGAAATCAATGTGACAGTATGCTTGCAGGACAGTTGCTCTCACCCAATTAAGCTTCAACTTGCATTGCCACTACATTGTTGTGCAAATGGCTTGAGATCTCCTGAATTCTAGCAACCCTCTCTACTTCAGATTATGTCCTAGATACCGTTTATGTCACTTGGCAAACTGGGAGTCTTTTTCGTTCTGTTCAATGACTACAGCTATCGCCTTGTTTTTGTTTCTTTAGCCCTCCTTTCTGAAGTTCTCCACTTTGGGGCCTCCCCACTTTTCCTAGTTTATAATCATCCTGTGCAAATTTCTACATTTCTACCTGTTTTGCGAAATTCTACTTACTGTGTTTCCCATAACATCCTTGAACTTTCATGAAAAGGATACTGCATTGCAGGCACAGGAACTGTGAGGCTTTAAAACTAATGTCATTAAATAAAGCAGCATTGTTGGGAATGATGATGATGCTATATTGGCTAGGGCAGATGGGAGTTATTTCCCAAAACAGATACAGATAGTCCCCTCTTGGAAGCTGGAATGCTCATGCTAATATTTTAGTTGTTGTTCATGAGCAAATGGTACCATTTTGGTAATCAAGTTCTAAATGTTGCTGGACATCATAGATAAAGGCTTTACGTTGGCATCCAGATTAATCCAAAGTCCTTTTCAGTTTATTGCAGGACAAGTAAGTTGTACAATTAAGGAGTAACGTGCCTGTTTTGGTTTCTACAACTTTCAGTAGCTTTAAAGCATATATTAATTCCTTTCTATTTCCATGTCAGGTTGTGAATTCTTTAGTTAAAAATGCACATGAAAATACGTATGTATTTTTGTTCACATTTTAAAGAACGTATGCATTGTTGTATGCCTTTTTTCAATGTCTGCATTTTGTGTGCATTTTTTCCTAATGCATGCTTTTTTAATCAGCAAATGTTGCATCATACCATTCAGAGTAATGAATGACATTACTAAAAGTTGATTGGGTTACAGTTCACATGTTAGTTTGGGAAGTGAGGGTTCGGTCAGTTCATATTAAAAGTGACCAAAATTAATTTCTCCCTGTCCCTAACAATAATCATACAATTAATATTTGGTCAGACATCTTGTGGGATCCTCAAACTATTACATGAACATTCCAGTATCCACCTCCCACCCCCACCACCCAGAAAAAATATTTTGTTGCTAAAGAAATGGAAGGAAAATAAATCTTGTTATATGGCTGTCACAAGTTTAGCTTGATGGCTTTTGCTGTTACTGGTTGTGAGCAGCACAACTCTTTGCTAAGGTTTTGTGAGTGTTTTAGGGTGCCATCCTTTGTATGTTTAGACAAAGAATTCCTGCAAATGTTGACTGGAGAATGCCAGGCGTTGTAGGGCTTTTCCTTCGTAACATGTATAGGATTGTGCCCTTAAAAATTATTTTATTGACTTCTTTTAGGGCAGCATACTTCCCTATCATGATGCTTGAGCATAGGCGTGTTTGTGAAAAATGGAGAACAGCAGCAAGACTTGCTTATGCACACACAAATAGCCTTTTTTTCGGTCTTCCTCCTCTATTGAAGTTTTTGGATTCTATTTTGCTTCTCCTTTCTAGCTCATGTAATCACTTGCTTTTACATATAGAAGAACATTAAATGAAAGGCCCAAATACAGTTATACATCAGCTCAATACATAAGGAATGTAGTACTTTGAAGATGGTACTAGATTGGGAAGTAGCATAGTTAGTGTTAGTGCACTAACAGTAAAATTAGAGTTTTTATTGTTCAGTAGTCTAGTATTTATTTATTTATTATTTGTTTGTTTGTTTAGGAGGCTTCTATGCTGCCCCATTCGCTGAAGCCTCGGGGTGGCTCACAATAATAAATAAATAAGAACAGTATAAAACAATATGAGTTGACCTGGCCCGAAAAGTAAAATAAATAAATAATATTAACACTTAAAATAGCATTTGAATAAAAAGGTCTTCACCTGGCGCTGAAAAACAAATAACAACGGCGCCAGGCGGACCTCTCTGGGGAGCGCATTCCATAGATTGGGCGCCACCGCAGAGAAAGCCCTCGTCCGAGTACTCAGCCTCCTAATTTCCTTCACGGAGGGTTCCCGGAGAAGGGCCTCTCCCACTGGTAAGACTGTCTTACATGATGTGGAGTACCAGGATGACTCCTAAATTCAGTAACTGTCTCTTAAAAGTTTTCATGTACTGCAACCTGCTGTAGTATGAATGCATCAGATACATGTAGTCCTACCCTGAGTGGCAGTGGATCCATTGACCTGGTTTGTCAGTGCTGCTTTGCATATCTAAGTCTAGATTGGGAGTTGTCATGACAACCAACAGAACACTCAAATGGATTGGATAAGCAAAAGAGTGGTTGTGTGGACTGCAGCCTCACCATGGATTAAATAACGCATGGTATCATTATTATGTCATGCAAACCAGCACTTTGTATGTGGGGTGAGAGGGATGGAGGGTTTATAAACAGTAAAACAGAAGGAATTTAAATGATGAAAGTACAGACTGAAAATTATCGCATTAACTGAGTCCTGTTAACAGAGTTGGATCAAGATTAAGGCATGTGCAATGGGGATGACAGAAGGAGACTTCCCTACCTATCTTCCTAGAATAGCCCTCTCAGTCCTCTGAAAATGCTTCACAGGGGGTTCGATGGAGGAACTAAAAGGGAAGGTCAGAGTCCTACAGATCAGGTGGAGATATCTTGTATTAGTGGAATACCAGATGCATAGACATCACTGCCCCACTGTACATTGTTTTGGGGGGAAGCAGGCAGAAGGGCTGTAATGGGTAAATCCACTCCCCTGGATCTGACCCATTATTAACTTCAGCTTTTAACTAGAGCGACTGTGGTTCATAAACACCAAAGCAGACTGGGGGGACAGTGGACCAGTTGTTGTCTCTTAGCCTAATTTCCTTCATGGGTTTGTTGGGATGATAAAAGGAAAGACAAGACTACCTGCTTTGATCTCCCTGGAGGAAAGACTAGAAACACTTGAAAGAAATTGATAAAATGTACCCCTTCATCTGAAAAAGGAGAATCCCTAGATCACCAGGGGCATTTTTCTTTCTGGTTACTCAATTCTGGGGTTATCGGCTATTAACTGTATCTTAACCGAGAGTTCAGAGTTGTGCAGAGTTCATGGCAAGCCCAAGGTTAGCTGAACTGCTTTGGGATTAGTTGCCCATGCAAATATTTATGACCTACCTCATAATTCAGGATGTCAACACTGAATTAGCAACTTTGATTTTTAAAGACAGTTCGACAGTGACACTTGCCTTTATTTTTGTGAGCACTCAGCTTTTGGGAAAGTAGAATATGATCTAATCATGAAAAATAAATACTGGCTCCTTGGTGCTGTGAAACCAGATTGTTTCTAGGGGTGTGAAGAGGATGGGTTAGTCCATTCCTTCGAGTTGGAGGAGTGTTGGTCACAGTCCAGTTTCAGCATTCAGATTCCAGTAATGCAATGTTTTAACATAACCATGTGTGTGCTAAATGGAGCCAGCTGGAGCAAGTTCCTCCAGTGATGCTGTGCTACTCTGGCAGCTAGCTTGACTTTTGTCAATACCATATGTAAGATTTGGGGGAGACCCTTTCTCCAGAGACCCTGCCTCATTTGTTGGCATGGAAGACACAGGGCGGTGGTGAGGAGCTGATACAGGCATGCTTACAGCATGATAGCTCATAGGTACTGGACCTTGCAAGTGAGACTCCACCTCTGCAGCACCATTTTAATTGCTGCAAAGTCATTTTAAGTAGCAATCAGAGAAGAGAAACGGCTGGGGCCAGTTTTGATCTTAACTGATGTTGCCTTCTCTTTCTTTGCTAGAGGAAAAATATGTCACAATCCAGTCATACACCAGCCAGGGGAAAGATGAAATCGGGTTCGACAAGGGAGTCACTGTGGAGGTCGTTCAAAAGAACCTGGAAGGATGGTGGTACATAAGGTAAAGGGCTAATAAAATCATATTGGGATAGGCAAACTGCTTGGTTATTAGCTTCACAATATAATCATGTAAGTCATTTAGTTCCAAGATAGGACCTGAAAGTATTTTATTTATATGAAATTCCTGGTGAAGTTGCACAAAGCCACTGAAACCATCTTGACTGTGTATTTCAAATAACTAACTGCAATATGTAGAAATTCTTTTATGTAAGGTGGTAGCAGAGAGAAAGTCCAAGTAAATCAGCTCCTGTGATAGTGTTTTGTTTTCTTTCTGCTTTTGTATTTTTGTTGGGGGTGTAGGGAGTAGATTGTCAGTGACTGAATTGGTTAGCTGTGATTTTCCAGCTGTAGTCCTATGCACACTTTCCTAGAAATAAGCCCCAATTTGCATGGGGCTACTGATGGCAAGTGCAATTTTTTATACCATCAGAAAGCTATTGCCAGATTGCTATAGAGTGTGAGAGTGTGTTCTAGTGTGTGTATGCATACATCTTTGATGTGTTAAATCAGTAGCATATTCTTGTTGAGATGGGACTGTGTTTTGTTAACATAGGAGTTGATCAATGGGGAAAATTTTCAAAATCGCTAACCCAGACTGTAATTCAAAATGTTTTCTTCCTTGTAGCCTTAATGGCTTAATGCAAGTGTAACATAGATATTTTTATGGCTTAGCTCCAGATACAATAAATGCCAGGTAAGCAGAATGTCTTTCCTGTGTTCAGCATAATAGACTCCTGTTGTTAGTGATATGAAGAAGATCAAAGATGCAAAGAGCATGGAGTCGTTCAATTTTAACTGCAGCAGCCAGATTATTAGCCTAATCCCACACGTTTCCTTGCAAGTAGTTGCCACTGTGTTTCACTGGCTCACTTCCAAATAAGCATGCAAAGGTTGTAGCACTGGCTTAAGGAAAAGTCATCATAATTGGAAGGGAGCTGGACAAAAGAGTTGGTTTCCTCAAGAAACTGTGGATCCTTTTCCCCGAGTAACTTTTAAGTAGAACGTGGATAAACAACTGTCAAGGAAAATACAACCTGGAGAATCTCACCACATTTTGGGGAGTTTTTCTGGGTGATGCTTCTTAGCCCATGTTCCTATGATCTACCCTTTTTGCTCTCTTAGTCCTTTTTGCTCTCTTAGTTTATATGTAGAACAGATATTTTTCATACACTGTCATTTCCTTTTGTACTTGGGCTATTGTCAGCAGAGCTATGAATAATGGAGCCACACAGTTCTGTGTGTTCCATAAATACATGAGCTGTTTTATCTTGCATACTACCTCTGCCATCAATAGTAAATGAAAGTTGGTAGAGGGGGAGTAGAGTCTCAACACAGTGAGCAGAGAATGGCTGGCCCTATGTCAGTTCTACATTCTTCTCCTTTTGAATCACACATTCAACTTTAATTCAAAGCCAAAGGTTCAGGAGCAGAGTGCACAGTACTTTGCAGGAAGAAGGGAGGAACAACTCCCCCAATTTAATACTGCTTTTGTTTTTAAAGGTTTTTCTCGTTACTGGCAGACCTTCTTTTATCTTGAGCTCTGCAGGGGCCTAGAATCTCTTGGAGTTTTCACTATTTTTATTGAAGAAGGATAGCAAAGAAAAAGAGCCTGTAATTTTTAACAGTGGATATAACTTACAAGTGTTGGGCTGGCAGGCTTGTGCGCCTGCCCCTCCAGGGCAGGGCTGTTCCTCCAAGTGTAGGCTATTCAGGTTTATTCAACAGTCTAAGGCGTTTTGCATCACAGGGAAAATAGTATTTGATGATGCATAATCTAGGTTACTCAGCTGAGGCTGTTGCCACTTTTTAAAACAGATCATGGCCCCCAAACTAGAAGGCTTTGCTTGCAACTGAGCCTTGAAGCGGATTATATTAATCCAGCTTTCCAGTCCCACCAGCTGCATTTACACCCATATATGTTTTTTTGCCTTGAGTTGTGACCCACACAGAGAGGAGCACCCAGTTCCACTGCTGTAACTGTAAGACTGTCCTCTGCATGTATATTAAGATGGGATCTTCTATAACATTGTGACTGATAATCAGAGTTCTCTGCTGGATAATGCATAGCTGACCAGCAGCTTCAGGCGCCATTGCCTGTCTACCAGTGTACAGTATGACAACTCTGGAGACTAGGGTGCATTTGCATCTGAGATCTGTTTTCTCTTCCACTCTGTCATCGAATTAATAACAAGGAGGGATAGAAGATCCGGTGCATAGGAAGGGTAATTAGCCACAGCAGTTCTGAATATGGATCATAGCTGTGATGATTGTAAAACATTTTTCCAAAACAACAGTGACATGCTCTTAAGTCCATGTGCTCTATGTGTGCCCCATGGACAACACAACACTGTAGACATTTACTTAGAAATAAGCCTTACAGAGTTGAGCAGGACTTACTTCCAAATAAGGAGGTTGAGAATTGCAGCCTAACTATTAGTAAAAGCTGAGTGCTGAACTTCTTGCTCTTCTCTACTCTGTCCAGCCTCATGCAAATTCCTGTATCCCAGCCAATAAAAACATCAGTTACAGAGAATCATGAGGGATTCACTTGTGATTTTGTAGGGATAAAAGGGAGGGAGCAGAAGAGACAAAGTATTATGCCTTCCAAATCAAAATGCCTTTGAGAACTAATGAAATGGTACTGTTAATGTTAATACGGTATTTGCTACAAAAATACATGCAAGAAAGTATCTTCTTAAGTATAGATTAAGTAACACAGGAGCAGACAGTACTAATTAGGTAATAGTTTCCACCTTAAAAATGCTAGCATTCACCTCCTTAAATATAACATTTTCCAAAAATCATGGTTTTGTACTGATTTTCACTTCCCTCCTCCTTGCTTCCCTTCCTGGTTTTCTTCCCTCTGGAGTAATTCCAGTAATCTGGAGCTGGAAAGCAGATGTTGAGGGGGGGAACACTCAGACAAACGGAGGCAATTTCTGAGTCCTCTTTTCCCCCCTCAGTGTTATGGTTTGAATATTAACTTTCACCTTCTTATAGCTTTAAAAATTAATGGGTTTTTGAACAGCATTGCAGCTGGCCCCATTTTTTTTCCATCCTTCCCACCCCCCACCCCATCCCAGTGTCGTAATGCTCTGGTTGCATTCCGCTCCAGTATATCAAAATGTTGTTATCCCTTTTCAACTTCTTCCTTTGCTATGCATGGTAAAGATCTTCACAAGCATTTATTTTTCCATCACTTGCTTTAAAAGAGCTGGTATCTCCTAGCAAATTTGGCCACAGAAACTAAGCAATTTGTGTGCACTAGGGGTATGCAAGTATTTTGTTCCCATTCATACAGTAAATAATGTAAACATGTGCTGTGTACTGCCCTAAAACCCAAAAGAAATGCAGTTCTCAGGAAATGCTTGCTGTTTCCCAAATATGCTTTCACATTTAAAGTGTATATTTGCACACTCAATATGGATTTTCACACTTTAATCTATGGGGGAAGTGTGCATTCTACTCAGGAAAAAAATGCATTTTAAAAAATGTGGGGTTTTTTCAATTGCATTATTCATTTTGGAGGGAGGCTGCTATTGTGTGTATGTTAGACACATTTGGGAAAACAAGCAAGAGAAAATGAGCTTCAGGGACAAATTTGGAGAATCTAATTGAACTTGAACATTGCATTTTTGCCTGCACAGATGATGTGCTCAATAAAATGATAATGTAGCTATTACTAATGGACTATCATTAATGGTTATGACCATTACTGTTACTGAAAAAATAGCAAAAAAGTTGCTTCAAGATGTTTCTCTGGTTACAAGATGCTTTTCAGATTTCATCCTTGCCAAAGCACTCAACTAAGAGGAGTTCCCAGGGCAGTCCTAGCATTGAGCAATCAAGTTATCAAGAAGAGGACCATCACATCTAGAAACGTGTTGTTCTAACCACCTGTTTCCATGTAATTTTGGCCCAGCTAGTGTCCTTTTGACCTTTCCAGGAAGGAACTTTTGAGCCTACTTTGCAGCCTGCAGAGTATCTGCATAGTTAAGCAGGGTTAATCATGAAACTTTTCTTGAAGTGAAGTCAGGGACTGGGCCTCTCAGGTTGACTCCACATGTCCAGTTCTGAGCATCATCATGGCGGCAGTGTTGAATATTCAAAAAGCAAATATTCCAAGATTTATGTGTGATGTTATACAGTTGCACTGCAACTAACACTATTCTGGTTTGCTTATCTTTTATAAATCATATTATCTTACATTATAGCTAATGTTGGAAGATGTGTCAGAATGTAATAATTAAAACCCTGTTACCTCATGTGTTCTATGCAGCTATGATCCAGATGGATCCTAGCATTTGTGTAATCATGTCTAGTGCCCCATATTTCTTTGATGCTTGTGTAGAGGCTGTTTGTTTATTTTTTACAAATCACCACTTAAGCATCTTCCTTTACCAGAACAAAGTCAGATTTTATTTTTCATCATTTGGCATGCTGCAGTGGTTTAGCTTTGGGGCTGAAGAGTCTTCTTTTTATGAGGTGGAAATGCTGTGTCTTCCTTAATTGAAGAAGTAACATCCTTTCTACATCTTCACTGAACTTCAGAACCTAAGAATAATTATGGAAGGCCTGCTTTTGTTCTTTTGGAATATTTATTTGTAATAACCATAATAGTTCTTACATGACAAGATGACTTAGTCATTCATCTCTTGCTATTATTTATCCTTAAATTTACACAGTCAATACAGCAGGTCAGGTTTTCCTAGTCATCAAAGTAGAGGAGATATAATCACTCCATCAGAATACACCAAATTAGGCTAATTAAGGGTCTTGGGGGGGAAAAGGTGATTCCTTCATTACATTCCAGCCACAATGTTTAAACTCAAGAGTTGTGATCATGTTATATTTCCACTATTTTAGTAGACTTTTGTAGATTCTCATCATATTCCTGTGCTGTCATGCATCACATCGCCCTTCATTTTTGAAGTTTAAGAAGCTAAATATAAACTTTCTTCTTATTACCAGGTATTTGGGCAAAGAAGGCTGGGCCCCAGCATCGTATCTGAAGAAAGCAAAAGATGATCTACCATCTAGAAAAAAGAACTTAACAGGGCCAGTGGAAATTATAGGAAACATCATGGAGATCAGTAACCTGTTGAACAAGAAATCTTCCAGTGACAAGGAAACACAGTCAGAAACTGAAACAGCAGAATCTCACATCTCCAAGAAGGAAATAAGCTTGCCTATTTTATGCAATGACTCCAATGGCAATTTCATGATGACTCAAGACAAGCAGGTGTCAAAACTAGCACAGGGATCGCCAGCGATAGCACGGATTGCCCCACAAAGAGCTCAAATAAGTAAGGTCATGACAAATTCCTATCTGTTTTACTTTTTGATGTCTTTTTTTTTTTTACTGGAGCAGGGCCATGTTGGAACAATAAATTTTGCGTTTATTGGAGGAAATATTTCTGTATGCTTTGGGAAGCCCATTCTCCTTATTCAAAGAAGAGAATCCCATGTTGTTGTTGTTGTTGTTAGTCGCGAAGTTGTGTCCGACCCATCGCAACCCCATGGACAACATTCCTCCAGGCCTTCCTGTCCTCCACCATCCCCTGGAGTCCACTTAAGCTCACGCTAACTGCTTCAGTGACTTCTTCTAGCCACCTCATTTTCTGCTGTCCCCTTCTTCTTTTGCTGTCAATTGTTCCCAGCGTTAGGCTCTTCTCTAGTGAGTCCTTCCTCCTCATTAGGTGGCCAAAGTATTTGAGTTTCATCTTCAGTATCTGGCCATCTAAAGAGCAGTCAGGGTTGATCCTCTATGACTGACTAGTTTGATCACCTTGCAGTCCACGGGACTCACAGGAGTCTTCTCCAGCACCACAATTCAAAGGCCTTCAGTGCTCAGCCTTCCTTATGGTCCGGCTTTCATAGCCATACATTGCAACTGGGAAAACCATAGCCTTGACTATACACACTTTTGTTAGCAGGGTGATGTCTCTGCTTTTTAATATACTGTCTAGATTTGCCATAGCTTTCCTCCCAAGGAGCAAGTGTCTTTTCATTTCTTGGCTGCAGTCCCCATCTGCAGTGATCTTGGAGCCCAGGAAAATAAAATCTGTCACTAGAATCCCATATTACTATTTCTAAAGTATGAATTAATCTGGATGAATCAATTTCTTGTTTTTCAAGTTCATTTTCTCTTACCTTTGCATCAGCATGGAGCTTTTAAAAACCACATAGAAATTTATGAATTTTCTGCACATTCCTCCTAATATATGAATTTTTGCAATTAGTTCTCTGTAATGGTGTATTTTATGTACCATTTTCATTTGTAAGCATTAATTGCATGAAGAATTTCCATCACAAAAATTGTAGAAATGTGAATACAGATAACAGTGTGTGTATTTTTCAGAAACCCCAAATTATTTAGAGTTGCAAACTGACTTAATTTCTGCCCCATCTATTTCTGTCATTCCTTATATCCACTTTCTTCCTAATTGCCCCAAGATAGTAAATACATTGATGTAACCCTTTAGTTCTTCAGACTCTCTCCAGTAATTTCCTTTTCCACCATCCTTGAAACATCCCTCGTGAGTGGACATTGACTAAAACCCAAATTATAGAGTTCTATTATAGATGAGATAGGTAATAATAAAATCAGAACATGCCTGGCTGAAGCATTTGATACAGACTACTCACTGGCCTGCTAAAGAACTCTTATGGCATCCTGCAGATTTTGTTTTAAGGTAGAATGCTATTGCCTGCTACTGCTATCCCTTTACCCCTGTTTTGCACATAGAAGGGTCATGTAAACTATGGAAATCGTGAACACTGAGGGCAGATTTAAGGATGCTAGTTGTAATGTGTGAATGCTTGAAAATAAGCTCTTTCATGCTTGAAAATAAGGACATTAAAGGCCAGAGGAAATGAGCAGGGGAAGGGTAGGTAAGGAACGCGTACTGATTGCTATTTGTGCAGGGCACAATGGTATGCTACCATTGGCTACAGAAGATATCTAGAGTGGGCTCAAAGGGGCTGTCTAGTTAGTCCTACCTTAGACCCATACCTAATACTGTTCGATATGCCAAAAGTCTGGCAGCTGTCAGATTCTCCATAGATCTGTGAATGATTCAAGGATTCCTTGCATCTAGGGAATGGATAATGCCCTTCTTTTGAGGAGACACCTGAGGCCCCCTTCTGTTCAAACTAATGTACTGACTGTAAAAGTCTAGGTTCTGAACTATTTTGGTTGGGAACTATATCAGCACAAAAGCTTTCCAGCTGTTAGTCTAGCAGAGTGATTTGAACAGGCTTGGTGGTATCACAGCAAGCTCTGCAGCATATGCAAGCTCTGCAGCATATGCAAGGGTAGGTTAGAACAAGCAAACTGAAACTGAGTGGTGCTTTTTCCACATTTTCAGGAACCCTTCTTTTGTAAGGTTCCAAATACTGTGGAGAAGACCCTAAGTATGTACCACTGTGGACTTGAAGGTTCACATCTGACCTTTGAATGCATGTAAAGCAGGTTGCAGAGAATGTGTGTCAACTCACTTCACACTCTGCATGCCAAGATTGCCTGTTTGAAAAGAGCCATGGTACTACAAAAGGCTATGCAAGCATAGCTGAAATCCTCTTAGGACATTTTAGTAGTTCTTAGTGTCTTGATGAATCCAGATGATCATGTGTCCCTGCATCAGGCAGTGGAGCAGGAAAAATGCCAAATTCACCCTTTCATCCAATGCCAGAAGGGTCCACTACTGCTTCTGGTAAGCCCTGCAAGCAGCTTTTTGTTGTAGCGCTGGTTTTAGTGAGATAATGGTAGTGGGTGTCTCTGGAGTAGCTTCCTGCCCCATGCTCCTTGCCCACATTCCCTTACTATATTCATTGCTGGGCCTTCTGAGGAATTAGCTATACTAGAGTATGTCTGATCTTTTGCAAAAACTTCTGGAACTCTTTGAGAGCATATTCTCACAAGTTTAAGAGATCTCTCAGGATGCAGCCAAGCTCTTGCAAGAGCTTGCAGCCAGGAAGGGACATCAGGCACCACACTGGATCGCGGCTGTTGGCTCTATTTCATCTCCCACATGATTCAGCATCCATAAAAAGCTAAGTGAGGTAATCCAGACATTTGATGATGAGATGTCTTTAGTAGACTCATAATACCCAGCTTTATTTCACCTTTCTTGTCTGATTCAAATGTGGCCCACAAGTAACAAATGAGGGCCAGCAAGCTGAAGCTCAGTCCAGATAAGGTGGAGGTCGTGTTCATCTTTTTCTAGGTAGGATTGTTTTCTTCCATCAATCAAGTTCATTGGTCATTGCTGATTTTAAATCCAGCCTTTTCATTTGGAGCCCCAAGTAGATCCCATGGTACAAAGCGCTTTTCACCAGCTAAGACTGCATCAGCTGCTAACTGTCCTAAACCGAAAGAGCCTGAGAGTCTCACTGTTTAGGAGCTGCCTTTAATATACTCAGGTATCTCTTGGGAATTGGGTACCTTAAAAACTTCAGGGTTCCACATGAACCTGTCAGATGTTAATATGGCTGTCCAGAGAGCACGATGCTAATGGGTGGCACTGAAACAAATTTAATAAATAAATAAATAAATAAATAATATAGTTGTCCTCGGGTGCCCATCTCTAGACATGGACACAGGGTCTTTTCACTTATGATTCCCCTGATTCCAAAATATCCTTTGTAGGAAAGCACTGGATCTTTTGGGGCCAAAAAGAATAGACATTTTCATTTGCTTGGACCTCTTAGATTCTATAGACTTCTTAGAACTTATAGTTGGTTTTCAAGCTTTTGAGCGTATCCTCTAGTTTATGTGGTTCATATCTAGTTTTTTAAAATATATAAGGTGCTCTGTAAGCCTTCAGGCCCAATACAGGTTTTAAATACTTGAAATAAATAAATCTTTGTTTCCAATTAAAGTTTATGTTCAGTCTTTGCCACTGAGAAGAACTTTGAAGCTACCATGTTCTGTTCAAATTTAGAATATTCCTCTTCTCACTAGGTTCTCCAAATCTAAGAACAAGGCCTCCTCCGAGAAGAGAATCCAGTTTGGTGAGTGCTGATTTCTTTTATACTGATAACACTTATGAATATCTAACTTTGCACAACACAACACCACCTGTTCAAACCAGAGGTAGGAAACAATTTACCCCCCAGGATCCAATTGCATTCCTGCACAATACCTGGGCTGTTCTCTTCCCCACCCCCTGGTGTCATCCTTTCCTTCATGGAAAAAGAGGTGGAAATGCTCACACACTGGATGGGTAGGCCAGACTGAAGAGCTGGAGTTTCTCCATCTCTGATTTAGAACTTTAGGAAAGGAACCTTAACACATGTCAGAATACAGAGATGTTGATCTTTGCTTTTCATATATTTATTGGAATAAATGAATGGTAAACTATTTATAGGCTTGCTACTCTAAATACCACATAAAACTAATTGTTTCCTGATTTGGAAGATAGTGGTGGAAGGAAATAAGCTTGTTGAAATGTGATTCCATATATAGTTACTTTACACAAGCAATTTACTTTGATTTTTTTCCCTCCATTCACTCGCTGCATTTATATCCCACCATTTCCCCAAGGAGCTCAAGATAGGCTAGATGGTTCTTCCTCCCATTTTCCCTTCTAAACAGCACTGTGAGTGTAGTTAGGCTCACCCAGTGAGCTCTGTGGCTGACTGAAAATTTGAACATGGGTCTCCCCTATCCTAACACAACCACCTAACCAACATGCAGTGTACCCTTACTCTATTATGGAAATAATTAATCGTTCTTAGCAAGAGAGTATGAATGCAGGATTTTAGAGAATAACTAAGCAGCATGGGAGAAGACTGAGCATCTATATCTTCAGTGCGTAGCTAACAAAAAATTTAAATTAGGGTTGTGGCAACCCTAATGAACAACCAAACCTTCTAGCTGTTCCTCCTGTGATGTGAAAGGTCAAAGATTTGTTCCCATGACCCAAAGACTTTTGGTCAGACAATAAGGAGTGGTAAAATACTGTTATACTGCTTATTGTCTTTGTTACATTTTTATACCACCCCCAAGGCTTACATGGTTCTTCTGCTCTCCATTTTATCCTTAAAACAACCCTGTGAGGTAGGTTAGGCTAAGAATCCATGGCTAGCTCAAAGTCACCCAATGAGCTTCATGGCCAGGTGAGGACTAACACTCAGATCCTCTGAGTTCCAGTTCAGCACTAACTGCTGTATGTCACTGGCCTTTCCTCAATATTAGCTTTGAAATGAAATCTCATCATTAGCATCTTAAGAGAACTTTTCAGTGAAAACCAGGAGACAAACATGCATCTTAGGGGTAAACATCAACAACAGGATGCAACTGAGACCCTAGAAACAATTAGCCAAGATGAACAAGGATGAAGAGGGGTGGCCAACAGGTCCTACTTCCTTGCTTGTTTGCCTAATATCTCCCCTCATTGTCTCTCCCTGTCCTATGGGGAGCTTTAGATTTCTCAGCAATCAGAGCTTTACTCAGGACTTGATGTGCTGAAGATAATGTGTGGCCACTCATTTAGTCTGTTTAATACTGTTTGTTTCCTTTCTGAACCTTTCTCCTATCCGGTTTATACTAATTTGTTTCCAATTCACCATTAGGGGTTGGGACACTCTGATTCCATGCTAACACAAAACACACACAATTTTTAACAGCTCTGCTGTTTCCTGTTAATTTTAATTTAATTTACACGATCCTGAAAACTGTAGAGATTTAGTGATGCTGCATCCCCTGCTGCATTCACATTTGCCTTGCTAACGTGCATGAAAGATATATTGCTATGCGTGTTAATTTGGCAGTTAGACATACCAGTGGGATCCGGCCCAGATTATAAGTTTCACAGGCTCATAAATGTTTTCTTCAAAAATGAATCCCACCAATGAGGAGTTCATAAGTTCTGTTTCATCCTGAATTTAAAATCCAAGCTAGACAAGAGCTTCCAGGTTATAGCCACACTTATCACCTTGGGACATCAGCAGAAGCGGTTGGGGAAGTGTGTGCGGGGGAGGACACATTTCCTGCTCTGCCTTGCCAGGTGAACTCCACTGTGTGCCCAGTAGAATGCTCTAAGTTGGAGAAGGGAATGTGCAGTCTTCCAGTTGTTGGACCACAACTCTTGTTACTGCTAGCCAGCATAGCCAATAATGAGGGATGGGAGTTCTAGTTCAAGAAACATCTGGACCAGCATATGTAACTCATTCCTGCTGTAAGTACTGTGAAGAAGCAATGACGGAATAGAATATTCAGTATTCAAAGGTGCCCAACTACAAGTTCATTTGCTTTGTTACATTTCTGTACTGCTTAATAGCAAAAGCTTGCTGAGAAGTTTACAAAGATTAAAATCCTAAGAAATACAATACCATAACATAATATAAAAGCATTTGCAAACAAAAATATAAAACAATTTGAACACTCAACAATAGAAATCCCAGGTTCCATTAAAAACCATTGCATGGTACTAGATGCCTAGCAGCAAAGGAATATTTTAATCTGGTGCTAGAATTATGACAGTGTTGGCACTGGAAGGACCTCAGTAGGGGAGGCATTTGTTTTGTTCTTTAATCCAAAGGAAAGGGATTTTGACTGAGATCAGGGATCCTGCACTTTATTCAAGTAAGTGCCTTGATGTTAATTAGGCCAACAGCATGTAGGGAGGAGAGTTTAATCATTTGATCCCCAGAGTTGCCACATACCCTGGGGTGGGAGATAATTCTGTGGTGTAAGGAAGGTAAGGAAAACAAATAAACTTCCCCATCCAATATGCTGTGCTCCAATTTGGATCAGGATCTCCATGCTTGCTTTTAAAAAGGAAAAACACATAGGGTGTTGCATGCCACAAATATAACATAGTGTGTAGAACAGTCTTCTCTACCTGGCACCCACCTGATGTTTTGGATTTCAATTGTCATCAGCCCCAGCCAGTACGGACAATGGTCAGCAATACTGAAAGTGGTCTAAAACATGTGCAGGACATCAGGTTGGAGAAAGATTGCTTAGGATGACCGTTAACTAAAAGTAGAGATGGTCAGTTCCCCAGGATTCACTGTAGATTGAACTGGAAAATAAGCTGAGCAGTTTTCCAAAAAAAAAAAAAAAACAAGACCTAGACATTTTTCAAGTCAATTTAAGTGGCAGGAGTTAGTTTCCTTTCCACTTCTGTGTTTTGCAGCAGAGTCCCCTCTTTGTACATATCGCCCTTGCTGTTCCATCCTTTCCCAGTTCAGGCTGGTTCTAGACCCAGCTTCACAGGAAGAAGTTGGGAATAGCTAGTTGGGAATTAGCCTGTCTGCCTAATGTTTTGAGTTGCTTAAGACATGTAAGGATGCTAGACTATGTAAAGATGAAGTAATGGCCACATGATGTAGTAATGGATACCAACTTAGCTTTAAAATTTATGGAACATAAAGCTGTCCATGACTACCAGTCAGGATGGCTATAGATTATCCCAGCATCAGAAACACTGATTTGTTTGCATGACCAGAAGGGGGACCACCCCGTGGCTTCTTTTCCCCACTCCCTCACATCAGCCATATGTTACATGATTTATTGAATAACCTTGCAGTGTGTGGGTTGGCCACTGTGTATTCAGAATGTTGTACTAGCTATGGCTTTGGTCTGATCCAGAAGGTCTTTTCTTCTGTACTTAAAGGATTGCAATGCTCTGTGCTGTTAACTTGGAGTATAAGTATAAAACATTGACCAAATTTAAGGAATATCTTTTGTTGTCAGTCATGTCAGATATTTTGTTCTCATTGGCCAGAACAAAATATCACAATGTATATGGTCATCCAGATGTTTTCCTAACCTTGCCTGAAACTAGATACCATTTTTAAAATAAAAAAATGAAAAAAATACTTTAAAATTGATGCAGAACTAATGATACACTCATCTGAATATAGGTTGAAAAACCAGGAATTGGGTAAAATGCCGATTTCTAGGAATTGTGACAATTCTACCATTATTTATTTATTTTCAAATCTATACTGTCACTCAATAGCCTGACAGGACTCTCTAAATGGCTAACAACATACAACAAACAGTACAAGTACAGGGGAGAGGGGAGGAAGTCTGATTTCTGATAAAAATCCAATTAGCCAAGGCAAAATAGCTATTTGAATGTACCTATTATTCTTTTTACTACAGTAAGCATTGTTTAAATACTCCAGTAGATCAAAATTCAGATAACCGACTTGTAGTATTCAATGGATTTTCAGTCCTTGTAAGCTGGTTCCTTCCAAAGTTTCACATGAAAATGAAAGTAGCTGTTTGACAAAATGAGAGTGCAACTTCAATATCCACATTCGCTTAAAATGTAGGCTGAAAATGCTGGTTGCCCCCAGCTAATTTGCTTCCTATACACTTTCTCCTGCAGCTTTCAAAAGGTGGGGACAATTGTAGTTGAGATTAGAAAGCTAAGAAAATTTTCTCTCTAATGTTTATGGTTCTGTACTCTCTTTCCATAACTTGTCCTTCGCCCCTCAGTCACATGAAATTCTGAAAAAATACCATTCAAAGATATAACAACTTTGAAATATAAATCCTGATAATTAAAATACAGAAAGTCATAAAATGGTAGAGTTGGAACGGGCCCATAAGATCCTGAGGTCCAGCCCTCTCTCAATGCAGGACTCACCTATCTATGCTTTCTTGTTTAAAAAGAAAATGGCTTTCTAAAATGAAGATGATGTAATCTGAGTTTTCCTCTTTTCTCCCCACCTCCTCCATATTTAACTAATTTATTTGCATTGTTCCTTTCCACAGGGCTTTCAGTTACCTAAGCCCCCAGAGCCACCATCAGTGGAAGTTGAATACTATACAATTGCAGAATTCCAGTCTTGTATTTCGGATGGAATAAGCTTTCATGGGGGACAAAAGGCAGAGGTAAGCCTGGAAAGGGTATAAAATAGATGAGTGAGGATACCTGCCAAAAACAGACAGAAACCAGACAGTAGGCTACATAAAAGTAATGTATTGTTACACTGTTTTTCTAAACTAACCTCTGTGTTACTCTTTCTCTAGGTCATTGACAAGAACTCTGGTGGATGGTGGTATGTGCAGATAGGTGAAAAAGAAGGTTGGGCTCCAGCATCATACATTGATAAAAGGAAGAAGCCTAATTTAAATAGGCGAACCAGTACTTTGACTAGACCCAAAGTTCCTCCCCCTGCACCTCCCAACAAATCAAAAGACTCTGAAGAAGCAGTAGCCACTGGAACCATAGCTTCAGGAGATGGCCAAGATTCCCCACACAAGCAAAAATATGAGGAGCCAGAGTATGATGTACCTGCCTTTGGTGTTGACTCAGAATCTGAGCTGAGTCAGGGAGAAGATGGTAGCCTGGAGAGAAGCACATTCCACCGGCCCAAGCCTTCCCCTGTCTCCTCCCTCCAAAGGGCAAAATTCCGAGTTGGAATGTCTTCTGAAGATGTGACTCATGAAGAGGAGACTATCTATGAAAATGAGGGCTTCAGACCATGCATAGAAGATACTTCGTCAAACAAAGAATCCAGTGGAGATTCTGATTCTCAAAGAAGTTCTTCGTTATCATTGATCCAAAGAAATTCTCCATGTTCTGTTTCTCCTAAGTCCTCCCTTCTGAAGCCCCAAAATGACAAAAGCATTCAGCCAAACCTTGGTAAGCCTCACTACTCACGGAATGAAGAGACAAAGCCAAGATCAGCCTCAGATGCTGGCTCAACTGGTGTGCCCAAAAAAAGGGATACTGGCGAAACTGTGTCTAGCAGAGCAAAACCAATGGTGAGGCCCAAACCTTTTCTGAACAAAGCAGATTCTCAAAGCCAAGAAAGGATGGATATCAGCACTTTACGTCACCAGCTGAGACCAACCGGTCAACTCAGAGGTGGACTTAAAGGTTCAAGAAGTGAAGAGTCTGAAAGTCCACCTAACACAGCTTCCGGACACCCAGAAGAGACCTTCAGAAGAAGCTCTGCAGATCTCATTACACCTCCTTCCCATGGCTTATTCTATTCCAGCCAGCCAACCAAGGCAGAGAATGAAAACAACTCCTCAAAATGCCTCTATGTAACTACTGACTCTTATCAGAAAGTTCAAGAGTCAGAGATTGGCTTCCCAGCAGGAATAGTTGTGGAAGTCCTGGAAAAGCAAACAAGTGGATGGTGGTATTTGAAATATGGAGACACAGAAGGATGGGCTCCTTCTCACTATCTGGTACAACAAGATACTACTTCCAATGAGACCAACATCTCACTGGCTCGGAACAGAAGAAATGAAAACAAATCCAACAGCTTGGAGAAAATTGAGAAGAAGGTCCAGGCACTGAATACCATCAACCAGAACAAGAGAGCAACACCTCCTATTCCCAACAAACCACCAGGTGGCTTCTCAAAAACATCTGGTCCTGTAAAATTGCGAAATGGAGTTAGACAGCTAGCTGTGAGGCCGCAGTCAGTGTTTGTCTCCCCGCCACCCAAAGATAATAATCTGCCTTGTTCCTTGCGTAGGAATGAGTCTCTTACTGCCACAGACCACCTAAGGGCAGTGCGTCGCAATTCTTCTTTCAGTACTGCCCAGTCCCAGATTGGTAATTTGAAAATAAAACATGCTGATCGGCTTGCCTCTGAGGGCTCTGAGGGCACCACCTTCCTACCTATTGAACACAATGGAATCCCAGTATCCACTGTCCGGCCCAAGCCCATTGAAAAATCCCAATTTATTCACAATAACCTTAAGGATATCTACATCTCCATTGCAGATTACGAAGGGGATGAGGAAACTGCTGGATTTTCAGAAGGTGTTTGCATGGAGGTACTAGAAAAGAACCCAAACGGCTGGTGGTACTGTCAGATCATGGATGGAGGAAAACCTTTTAAAGGCTGGGTCCCCTCAAATTACTTGGAGAAAAAGAATTAAGTGTTGCAGTGTCTTTAAGTTCCCTAAATTATACTTTTTCTGCTGTGTAGATATGGAAGGAGGGGGAAGATACAAAGATGTATTTCCTTTTGTTCCATCGTATATTGAAAGGGATTGTTGAACTGAGCATTGCTATGACCAGCAAGTCTGCCAACTATGAGGGTGTGTTAGGGTGTGTTTGAAGGAATTGGCTAATTCAGCAAATATCAAGAAAAGGCAGCTTGAATTAATGCCTTCTTCTTCATTACTTGGTGAAGCCTTTCACATTTGAGTGCAACAGGGTACATGATCCCACCATCCTGCTTGTAATAATAGGAAACCAAATGTGTGCCTTTCACAATATAGTTTGGGCCTATGTGTCTGCTTGGGTATGGTAGGGAGTTTGGTGCCAAACCTGGACATGTTTTTAAAAAATCAGCTTGTCCCATTTTTCCAAATGGAGTGTGTATAAATATTTTCAAATTGTGGATGGTTTCCCCAGTCCCACCCTAAGACATCTTTCATGTGTGCAGAGCAAACAGAGAAACTTGTTCAAGGGATCCAGCACTAGCCCCCAGCCATTGCATTCTGTCTCCAGATTGCTTGAAGAGTCGGGGGCCTTTTCACTGCGCATAGCTGGCATTGGACTCTGAGTGCATATTGTTCAGTTCCCCCCCAGTGGCATCCACCGTACATTTTTCCTTTGGTTGCTATGTGTCCATTGTTTCAGAAAAGGGGTTAAGTGGGGCTTATTTTCCTATTATAATTAAAATTTGAAATATAATCAAACTTTAGGTGGTTCTTAGGTGTTTGCAAACACACCCAAAGTGATGTGTTGCGCACACTCACCTCTTGCGGACACTGACTGGTCTCAAATGTAATTTTTATTTTTAGGGTCTTCTGAACAACCAAGTTTGTCACGTCCCTTGTTGTTTAGCACCCCACATTTGGACTAGGGAGTAGCAAGGTCTTACCTGTACTTGAGGAAAATTGGTTGACTGTAGCTAAGAAGGAGAAGCCGCTGTTACATGAACTGTTCCCCTTTTTTCTTGATCATGGCCTGTTAAGGTTGGGCTGTCTGACTAGCTGGTAGGCACTGTACATCTCTCCTGAACAATTATCCATTGCTTCTGCTCTGGTTCTACCTTATGTCCAGGACAAAACTTCAGTCAGTTCCCCTTGACCTGCAACAACCAATGTGCATACTCCCTTCTCCCATCCAAAGGCCTTTCAAGACTTCCAGCTCTCATTGCCACAGTTCCAGCTGGAAGACCTTGTGCCACAACACAATAGCTTCTTCAGAACTATCTATACGGGTCTTGCAAGTTATTCCAGCATAGACTGTTGTGTGAAAGTGAAGGCCAGTTCACAAGAACTAGAATGTCCATGACTTAAACATAAAGAAATAGAATTTATTTCCAAATACTGGGATTTATTTCCAAATAATGGGCCTTCTATTTTGCAGAAGTTCCCCCTTTTTTCCTATGAGAGGAAGAATTTCTGTGTGTTCAGAAATTGTGTATGCACATTGAAGAGCATGGGAAAGTACTTACCTGTGATATGCCTTGAAACCACATCATCATACCCAACTACCAGTACAGCTACTCCTTCATGAATGAGAGTTTCTAGATGCACATGGTGTTCATGCATGCACCTTCTCTACACCACTTACTCCATTGAAAGAGGGGTGACACCTCACGCATATCCCCATTCCACATGGCTGCAGTCCTTCTCTGGGAGGGGATGCTAATATAGGAGCTGTTTGTGCACATCAGAATGCCCTTGGTGCTTAAGATCAATGGCAAATTTATTTGCATATATCAGTGTCTCCAAAAAAGCCAGAGAAAAGGGAAGGCCCTGAACTTTGTATGTGTGTCCTTTTCAAACAGTATCCATCAGTGTTTACAGAGCTGGATGCAGGGAGAGAAAAAGCCATGGATTTTACTGTCTGCACAGTTGTTTTAGTTTGTTGGGGAAAGGGGTTATTTGTGAACCTCTCTGATCTAAAGGTTATTTTCCCTTTTAACAAATTCTCTCTTCTGTTGTGTTCACTTGAACATTACTTTTATACTGAGGGAGAAACACCTGATACATTTTCAGACGTGAGAAGCAAATGAATAAAAAGCACCAGTAGGCTGGGAATGCTACTAGACAAGAAGCACATGCTTATGTGTGTTCTCCCTCCCTCCATTTCCTTGCTCATTATTTATGATTCTAAGAGTTTAAAAATGAGATGTTTTATGGAAGGTCATGGAAAAGATGGAAACCACTGTGGGTGACAAGGTTTGGAGTGCAATGTGTATTTATTTTTGATGTGGCTTCAAACATCAGCCTTCAAATAAATGTTGTAATAGTAAAAGAAATGCTGGAAGGCCTTTGCGTGAGAATATGGAAGATCAGATGGAAGTTTGATGTTGCTGTCTTGAGGCCCAACATTTTGTTTGCCCAGAGAATAAAAACAGTTGGGTTTCATGGCAAATGTTAACACAGAATAATAGAGAAATAACTCATATGTCTTCCAACAACACCTCATGCCTTCTACCAGTTGGAAGATGAAAACAGGAAGATTTTAATGAGCTCAAACTAATGCTAACAAAATCTTCCAAATTTACAACTGAAAATATTAAGAGATGTTTTGCTTTCCTGAAAAATTACATAATGTTGACTTTACTTTTGTCTCATTCATTTTTTAAAATTGTGTGTTACATATATTAAATTACAACAACAAACATTGAGGGATTGTTTTCCACAGCTTTCATGACTTTCAGCTTGATCTGTTAAGATGCCATTAAAGTCTGTGACCACAACCACTCTCCATTCGATTGCTCTGGTTATAGCAGCGTGGAAGGAGGAGCCACTTTGGAGAAGGTGAGGGAGGGGGGAAGAGGCCTGTGGAACTCCAATAAAATCAGTGGGGAGAAAGAAGGCAATCATCTACACTACGGTGAAAATGGTGTGGATTTTGCCCTGAACTCTTCTTCCTGAGGCCTAGCAGCTCTGCATTTTGGCTGGTTCCCTCTGTTGTTAAAGTTCTGCTGCAACATTAGCAGTCGTTTAGAGGACTACCAGAGCTGCTGTGAGTTTATAATAGAAGTATTATGTTCTTCTGCTGGGCAGTATTAAATAGAGCAAAACCATAAAGTAATCTGCTAGATTGCAGTACTAATAGTAGTGATTTAGCAACTCATATTAATGTTTATGATTTATTTTTTAACAATAATGATGAAGAAGTGGTTCATTATTTTTGAATTAATGCACTTTAACCATTTTAAACCAAAATGCAGAAAAATCAAGTGCATTATTTAAAGATGCAGTATAAATTGTCAATTTTAAAGTTCACCTATTTATTAAAATAATTTATGACTATTTAAAAATTGTACTATACAGTTTTGTTCTAAAGATGCCATCATCTCTTGGGAAAATTAACAGTGCAGCTCCCAAAATTCCTGCTTTGAAACATTGGACTCTCAAAATACAATGGATTCAGTTAGCAAGAGTCAAATTTCTGCCATGGGAAAAGGGACAAACATTTCTTACTGGAGAACAGCAAATTGGCTAGCAGTAGTTCCAAACCTGTACCGCCATTAAGAATTTTCAGTGGAGAACTTATCCAAAGTATGTCATGAGATCATGGGAAAGTTTTGCAGATCCCCCAGATGAGTTTCCATGCTATATTACAACTGAGGCAGTGGTGTCCATTTTGTATTTTAGTGGTGCCCAGTGTTATACTGGTGACTGCAGTCATAATAACGTGTGGAAAATCATTGTGTGGTAACTTGGCAGAATTCTAAGGTTGCTTCTTTAAACCTAATGTTAAAAAAAACTATTTCTTGGTACAACTTGTACAGTTTGGCTTGCCCTCATTCTGTTGGTGTGGGAAGTTGGGAACTGGCCTTCCTTCACTGTGGCATCCCAGCAGTCTCATGTAATCTGTGCAATTCCATATTTAATATGATGGAATACAAAGCAGGCATGGTCTGTGTAAGCACTGCTTTCTTACAGGTGTTGCTTAATGATTAGATTAATTGCCCATCAAGAATAATTGTATACAAATGTCTGTCACACAGAATTGCTGATGGATCAAGCAAGTAGTCTTCAGCTGGCCTAGCCAAAATGCTCTGGTAGCCATTGCAATAAGGTACTAAAATTAAGTAAATGAGCTCCTGTAGTGTTACATCCACGAGTCATATTTGACCGTGCACCTTGGTGTTTTACACACACACACATTTTTAGTAGCCCTTGTGTTGGGACAAACCTGGAGGTGATTTCGTGTTGTACGAAAATATCATGCAATTATGAAAGGGGGGGTGGGTAAAGGGCACTAGCAAGCACCTTCTTAGTCAATTTCACTGTTTTCCACCTGTAATGTGTCATTTCCTTCTGCAGCTATTAGGTGAGATACAAAATATTCTTTAAAAAGAGTTGAATTCAAATTGCAGAGCTATCCTGATTCATTATAATTAAGTGGCTAGTCTTCATGATTTTCTTGTACAAACATGCTCAAGTCCCACCCAAAGTTATCTAGAGTCTTTTCTCCAAAATAATATATTTTGATCCTAAAACCAAAGTTGTCAAAACATGGTGCTTTAAAAAAAATAAACTATATAGTACTAACAGAATTATCTAAATTTTTAAATTATCTGGGTCAGCTACTGAATAAAATATTTTGTGAAGTCAAAGAGTGCCCTCTTGTGGATGGAGGAATGGCTTCTAGTTCTTTTTTTCCCTGCTTATTGAAATTGCCTTAATCGTCCATGCTTTCAAAAGGGAAAAATATTGTGAAATGGGAATGATTGGGATAGGAAATGTCAAAACACAGCTTAAATTTTTAGACAAAATCCAAGAATTTGAAACTGTTCTGCTGTATACTGCAACTTTAATAATAATGAGCACTTCTGAGTTCGTTATTGCGGTTTTATATAATGCCTGAAAGATATTCTCGCAGTTGTTGCTTTTCTAAATTCTAGTAATCAGTATGTCTAAAGCTTCTTTTTGTTTTGTTCTACCCACATATGCCTTGTTGCCCATTGTAACTTCTTTAACTGAGGCTTATTTTTGGAGGGCGGGGGCAGATGCTGACATTAATATGCCTGGACTGTATCACTTCAGACAGCAGGTGGCCACTGAATTGCCTGAGGGATCCATCACACACATGCACACACAGAGGCATCTCTTTCCTGTACATTAAAAATATGTTAGGTACAGGTCTAGCCTAGAACACTTCTCAATTTCTTGTTTTCTGTGTGCAGGGATTATTGGTATAGTAAATCAATCAAAAATGTGTGTTTTCTCCTGCACTCTAAAAGTGGCACGATCCAGAGCTACCATAGCACTTTAACTTCTGGTTTGTAAGAACAAAGCATCATTGAACTTTTCATGTCTCTGAAATAATACCAAATTATTTGTCTAGACTGGGATCCAAGGTCCTGTGTAAGCTCATGCTAGATGCTTGCCCTGGCCCACTAGGATAGGATTTCAAACCTTTGCTTGTGCCTCCTTTCTGGCTATATCACAAACTGCTTATGAAAGTGTCTTCCACTTTTGAATCAGTTTGCTATGTGGTATGGTCTAGGCAGGAGGTGAACGGGGAAGTGTGTGAGCTGGGAAAAACCATGCACAGAGTTCCCTTGGGCTCATGGAACTAGCTTCACGGTTCTTTGGATCCTAGCCTGCTTTTCCAGTGACTGTGCTCCTTGCCAAAATCTAAGTATGAGTGAAAAAATGGCACTCCGTTCTTTAACAAGGATTTAAGTCCCATTGACTCCAATGAAAGTTACTTACAGAAATGATGCCTAGCCTTGCTTGAACACAAAAAGTTTGGATGGAGCTTTTCCTTTCCTTTCAAATGTTCATTTGTAAATGTGGCAATTATCACTATAAGCGTGCTAGCTAATTCAAAGCTAGAGTATGAGACAGATGAACAAGGGCACATGAGCTTCAACTGTAAGTTGCAGTAACAAAAAGCTGCATTTCCTTCAGACAAAAAGGTTTCCTTCAGTAGCAACACTGAACATTTTGACGAAGGCATTATAGAATTGTTTTTGAACTACTTTCAAATATTAGTGTGGCATATTAAAATTATACTCATTGCTGTTCTATGTTTAGAAATGCGTTACTGCTTTCCATCATGTATGAGAAACAAGGGAATCTGGTAAAGCATTCATTATTTTCATATTACTAGCATTTACAGACTAGAAATAGTATTTAAGTTTAGATCACCTTAGGTAGTTTGCTCATTTACATTTTTCTCTTGTGTTTTTTTTTCTTTTGTTACGTTTTCTTCAAATATTTTGCATTCTCAAGAAAAAATCCAATTAGAGGATATGTGCAATACTGAAAGAGAAGAAACAGGCCCCTCATCCAGGACTCAAAGTGGAATGTACAGTGTGATTTTTGTGAAAGTCTGTCATTTTCTAATAATGCACTCTCAGGAAAGAAAGCAGGATTGCTGGGAAGGGAACAACCGAAGAAAAGGGGTGTGGGGGAAAAGCCTTTGGTACAAATGGATCGTGTTGAGTCTGGCAGTGGCTGTACAAGTGCATTGCATGTGAACAAAATGGAAGGACTGTAAGTGTTAGATTCTGCATAATGCATGCTGCAGTCCATTGCTCATTTGTAAGTCCCTTTGAATGCAATAGAACTTACTTCTGAGTAGACATGTATAGGAGTATGCCGTGAAGCACTTTAGGGTGTTACTTTGTGCATGTTTAGACGGCAAAAAGTTGACCACTCCCAGCATTCCCCAGCAAACTCTGCTGGCTGAGGAACACTAGGAGTTGTAGGGCATTGTTCTGGCTAAGCATATATCAGGTAGCATGGAATGGAAGCTGGAGCCTGAGACAGGTAATGACAAAAAGCATCTACTGTTAAGCACGTACAGAACACAAGGCTTCATCTCATGCCTAAAGTGCTATCTACTTAGCTTTGTGCTCGAGACCTTTGAGCATGATGCCATTCAAAAGGGCAGATTCAGCACTCTGGCCACCAAACAGGAAACGGCTCTTAACCTTTAGAGGCCCAGGATCAGGGATCTTTGCTTTGGTGCTTGTTCATTTCACTTTCTGAAATCTTTCCTAACACTTTGCTCCTGCTATTCCCTCTAGCTGAAGAATGAGTTGGTAGGGCAAAATTATCGCCTGCTTTATTTTGCATGAAATCAAAATGTTCAGTTGTATCAGATGCTTCACGTTTGTGTTAAGCACGTTTTCAAAAAGCTGCTGTTAGGCTGCAGTGCCTCTTTCTGAACGTAGCCCATTCAGCTCCGAGCATGGAACTTGTTTCTCATGATACATGCATGGACTTGTGCTGTAAGAAAACAACCTTAAACTAAAGTCTTTGGCAGAAACTGGGCCAATATTATATTTCACAAAGTTATTGTGGAACTGGAAGGCCAAGCTGAGGCCTATGAATTTAACTGCACATATGCATTTGTGGTTTATCCCTTTAGCAAAGTGTGTCTGAGTCTTAAATAAATCTCTAAAAAAAATTAGAGTTTTCATATTTTAATCCCTTGAGGGTATGCATGAAAACTGGGCTTTCTTGAGTAGCCCATCCAAATTTAGTATGTGGCTTGCTTTAACACTGAGAATTCATGGCTGACCAGAATAGCCTCCCTGGAATCTCACTCATAGATTAATTGGAATGGCATCCATGTGCCTGCCTTCACGCAGCCACTGCATAGTATTAGTGATTTTACACCTCCATTAAATTTTTTGAGAGCAACAAATTCTTGCTGGCCCTGGTTTTGGAAGATTTTACTGACCACCGCAGGTGTTGTGGCTTTGTGCATATGGGTTTGTTTTTAATTGTAATTTTTTTTTGCAAAAATTGTAAAAATTAAAAACACTCCATGCATACACAAAAACTAGCAAGAGGAACTACGCTGCTATCCATAATACTATAAGTATCAACTGGATATCTGCTGCTAAATAGTCAGAACCCATCTGACACAATACAAACCTCCTCCTAGAAAATCCAGATATACAAATATGCAGTTAAATCAGGCATACTGTAAGCATTCAAGAGGTACGGATTGGGAGAGTGCAAGTTTCTTTGTAAATAGCTTTCTTTTTAAGTGGGAATTTTTCTAAAAAATAAAAATGGTAGATTGTATAAATCACTGGTAAATCTATGGAAAACACATCAGGTATCATGGACTTTGTGTCCTCACTCCAAGGTTTCTTTTGGTGCCTCAATTCATCTGTCATATCCTTTCATGATTTTATTTTTGTAATCTTTAAGTACTGTACATGCGGACTTTCCCAGCTTCTTTGGAGGTCAGTGAACTGGATCTCTCTGTGCAAGCCCTTTGATTGGTATTATGTAGCCTGTACACATCTGCATTTGAATAAGTGCAGAATCTCCTGGAAGAGCAATTAAGAGATCCTTCATTTTTTGGAGGGACTTATATAAGGGTGTGTGGATGTGTGTGCATGCTAAGGTGGTGAGGAGAAGGGGCTGAATGAGTTCATATCCCTACTATGGGGAGAGGTTTGCAGGCCAGACATGAGCACTGCTCTTGTCTGGAATCAAAATTCTGTTTTCAGGATTTTTTCCTCCTCATTTTGATAAGATTGCTCAGGTGGAACATAGCCAAAGGCAAAGTTAATTGGTCCCCCTCAATCTAGGATTACAGGGTGAGTTGGCCTCATGCCGCAGAACATTCTAGATGAGTGCATTTTTCTCCCCTTTAAAAACCAATTTGATGGGACTTTCACACTGTCATTTTGCACGCGTTTCACAAACTATACAACAGCCACTATTGTCCTGTGTTGAGACTCCTGTTTGTTACGAAATCAGATTGGATGTCTGTTGCGGGGTGGGGTGGTAATGGTCAAAAGAGGCAACTGGATCATGACCGGGGAGGGTTTGTTTGTTTTTTCCAGAAAAACAAATTGAATCAAGAATATGTTCATAAGGCTTGGTCTGGCATCCTGGGTACTTTTTGTGTATTTATGCATCCATATATATTACTCAGTGCTCTGTATTAAAGTGTGTCTCCCACTGTTGCCAAAAGTTCCAATTGTTGCATTATGATCTAATACAAATCTCCATTCTGAAGTTCATAATATGAAGAGGGAATAGGGTTTATGTTTATCAAGCTGCCTTCTGCATCTGGAAGAGAAACTGTGGAGAGGTTCATGAAATGACTGAAGCTGGCATTACAACATAGTTGGGTTGTGTTTTAGGCTGGCTTCTAACCAAATGGCTCTGCTTTGTTTAAGTGAAATGAATTGTTAGAAGTGAATGAGGGAGCCAGCTGGTGATCTCACATTTTGTAGCATTCTAAAATGTGCCTTCTGAGCATTTTTTGGCTTTTGTAAAACTTGACCCACAACTTTGAGCTAGAACCTTATAGAGATTGGTGTGCCACAAGTTCTAACTGCAGCCTTTTACTATGCTAAATGATAGTATCCAGATGGAGAATTGTTTATGAATTTCAGGGATTGAGGGAGCAGAATGACCTATGTAGGAAACCAGAAAGGAGGCAACACATACGGATGTGTTTCCTTAGATCTAAAACAAATAATAATTTAAATAGAGGCAAGCAGTCTTTTTTGCCAGAAGCCATCTGTACAGTGGCAACAATTCCAAATAGCTTATGTCCTTCCAATGGGCCTCTAGTAATTGTTGTTTAGCATAAGGAGAACAAAATTGTTAAACGTCTGGAAGAGTATGTTGGTAAGGAGAGATGGGAAGGATGTGTGGTTGGTTTATGAGCTGTGCGATAGAGATGGCAGATGGAGCGTGTTATCTTGATTTTATTCATCTTGTTTGCTTAGAAAAGTGTTTTCATTGAAAGTGGATAGTTATTGGTGTAGTGCAAGTTGAAGACTGAGTTTTTTGTTTTCAGAGTTTTGTCTTATGAAAGGATTCAGGAGGGAATCAGGTGTGGTGTGTGTTTTGGAGAGAGATGAAATAAAGAGCCCTGTGATACTTGGTGTTTTCAAGATGAGGAATACCAGTGTGTAAGAAGCAGCTTAGCTGTTTGGCCCACTGAAAAGCTAATGTTAGATACTGCCCATAAAAATAGTGTTGTTTTATAAAAGGTAAATCCTTCAATGATCACTGTTAATCAGAATAAAATTTGCATGTAATGTATCTCCAGCACTAAGGGAATAAAACAAAAGGAACAAAAATAAAGATTGTAAGGTATTGTTCTTGTGCTTGCCATCAAAAGTCTTGGTGAGCTTATGGGAAGGATATAAATCTGTTTGCATAGTAAAACTGACTGCACTGATCAAAGTCATTTTTGGCAGGTGATATTCAGTTTGCTTACATTAATGCACATGTCACAAGAGAGAGCAACTGTGGTAAAATGTCCTTGTAGCTCTCATCATTTCTGTAATGATCACTGGGAAATGTTCGACTGGAACATTATCACATTAGTCTTCATGAAACAAACTGGCAGCAAAGACCAGTGCCTGTTCTGATCTACTTTGGCTCCCTCTTAAATTGATTTTGGATTATCTTGACATTCAAATTTAATAGAGGCAACTAAAGACTACATAATGAACCTCCTTCCTAAGGTCAAAAGCCTCCTTCTTTTGTCAAATTTACATTCTTGGCCTTTAATTGTAACCTGTAGTATTAAATGAGAATTTGTATAATTTTTCCATTTCCAAATTTAATTTGAAAACATGGGGCTATTTTGCACAAAGAATGAGCTCCTTAATTGTCATAGTTATATCTTATTTGGACAGAACTAAAGTTATATGTAAAAATGAAGTGTGTGTATATTTAGTTTGTTTTCAGAAACTGAAGTGGCTGTTGTATTCAAAATGACTTTGCAGTGATATCATCCAATAATGATTTACAGGCACACTCAGAAAATTTTAGTGCTTAAATTTTAGAGATGCAGTTACATTGGGTACTGAACACTGACCCAATGAAATGTGATTTGGGGGATATTTACAACATGGCTTATTTGCCCCATAATAAATTTCTGTTTATGCAGTCAAGAACATGAGTGCTGCGACTCTAGATAGAACTTAGTCCTGATTATATTTCTTTCATAGGTTTTTGCTCAAGTGTTGTAGAAAGAGGGAATTTGCATTTTAAGAATCAAGTGTAAGTGACTGTAAGTGGAACAGCAAAACACTCAGATTAACCATCATGGTGTGTGAATTAGATTCTGCTCTATCAAAGTGATTATGAGATTGGAATTGTGAAAGAATATCTTTTCTTTATATTTAATGTCCCTTAATACCTACAATGCCTATGAATATATCTCAAAGAAAAGGATGCTTGTGTGGCTTAATTAGTTAATATTAAAGGCCTGTTTTTGTCTGTCAGACAGGGGTATTAAATTTATTTGTTCCAACATTTCAGGCAGGCATGTTTTGCAGTAGATTGCTACATCCTTATTTAGGGAGCTAGTTAAGAGTTGCAGAGGTAGTAAATCATTGCAGTTGTTGCAGCCAATGTGAACATAGATACATCACACCTAAGTAAAGTATTGTATAGCTAACTAGTGTAATGAGGCTTTCTGAGTCCATGGGTCTGGAATTCAGGGTCACTGATTTATGGACACAGTTCCACAGAAAATGTCTCAGATCGCTTTGGCAGATCTGTGCTGCAATACTGTAAGAGTTGGCATCTGTGTACTTGATTATTACTGAAAGATATAAAGACCCTAAGGCACACAGCTCAGTTTTTCAGTTTTTTCTCCATCAACCATCTGGCATTAATGATGCTTGAAAAATTATTTGTCAGTTTCAGCCATTTTGAAGTATAGGGATTAACTTTTTGTACATGTTTTGGCCCTGTAGTCCTGTTTTGTGGGGAGTCTAAGCTTCCTTCAGACGTTCCCCTTGGACACCGTGTCCCTTAACGGTTGGCACAGCATTGGTGTTGCAAAGAAGGAAATGTCTTGCCCTTTGTGTCAGTATCAGAAATGCTTGAGAGAAGAAAGTCCCTGCTGTCTAAGATCTGTACAGTGAACACTGAGTGTGAGTCATTTGTTAAAACACAACATTTGGTGTAAGTGTGTAAGAACCCAGCCAGCTCCTTCTGCTGATAATGATTTTAAAGGCCTTTACTATGTTACAGGAGATGCTTGCACACAGCTTTGCAAGCAAATGCAGCTGCACACAAACCATGGGTTGTGGCCAGCACTGTTTGTCATCCTGGGGCACATGTCTTTGGACTCTGCAGTGTTTACTTTTGGAGATGGCCAAGAAAGTTTGTCATTCTGGGACACACTCATATGGAAGGGCTACATGCTAGTTATAAAGCAGTCTTTCTTACGGGATTGCCAAGAGCATCTAGGCTTTTGCCTCTGTTTTATTCCCAGGTTCTTGCAATGTGAAACTATAGTACCATATTCATTGACTCAGGCAGAGAGGGCGTGATAGCATGCTGTACCTCACCATCATCTCCCAGTTTACTCATTGCTTGGACCAAAGGTGGTGCTAATAGGAACTTCTAATTTTTATATTTATGTTTTTGTTGGATTTTGTGTCTGTTTGTGTTTTGTTTTAAATCAGCAACATTTAATGACCTATTTGGCTAAAAAGATTGGCCTCAGACCCTTTGAATTCACAAAAGATCTTTGGGACTCAGACATTGCTGTATGTTTTAACTGACCATGCTTTTTTGAGAGAGATAAAGGATACTCTCATCTTTAAATGCTTGCAAATTGTAAGACTTTTTTAAAATTCAATTTGTTTACATCGTCTCTTATGTCCTATGGGAGGGAAATAAAGTTTTTGATCTTTTTAACTGTGTACTAATTCTTGGCTAGTTTATTTCTTCCTAGAGCTCAGAGAGTATGAAACTTGTTACTGAGACTTCTTTGTATTGAACATCTTGATTTTCACTGCAAAAATAAGTGATAGCTTGACAAAAATGTTCATCTTCTCATAAAAAATACAGTTCCTAACGAATAATTAATGAGACAACAATTTAAATTCATCATACTTATGCCCTTATCTACCAAACTGAAAAGGGAAAAGTGGAGGAATTTTCATAGGCATCAAATATGCAAAGGCTACTGTTAAGACACAAAAGAAGGAAAATGCAAAAGCAACCAGTGTGCATACGCACACACAACCCAGCTTCCAGGCATTGCATTTAAAGAGTTGTGAATTTGTGGCACACATTTTGAGGGTAACATGTAGCTTACCTCTTGGCCTTTAAGGTGCTCCACAGCTTCTTTACTATTAGTGTTTGAAAAATGTCCACTAGGTGGTGGTGATTCAACACTAAGGTTTCAGTTTCATTCTCCTTAGCCTCTTCACCCTTGCAAGAATTCTGGGCAAGAATTTCAAAGAGGCCAAAAGTGTCCACCCATTCAGCTCACAGTTGAACAGCTGAACCTCCTGCACCCTGATCTTTTAAGTGTGTTCAGTGAAGGCAGTTGCAGTAATTTGCACATGTGAGATACTGGCATAAACAGCTTTCTGGTCTGAAAATACATAATTCAGCAATTATCAGAGCATATCTGGTTTGCTTCACACCTAGATGAAAGAGTGTTTTGGAGCCCCACCTACAGTGCCTTGAGTTTCACAATGGGAAAAAGGTAAACAATAAATTACAAAGTGCTGTTCTCTGATTCTGCCTCCTTAGGCCCATATGGCAAAGGAAGATGAGTTGATGCTGATGGGAAAGGCTCTCTTTAGAACAAACAAGAAGAAAATTCTACCCTACCATTCTTGCTCAGAGCTTCTTACCTATAAATAGCTAACATTTACCCATGGGTCATCTATGGTGAAAAATACCAGCACCTTGCAACTGCTTCTCTGGGAGCTGATTGTGAAAGTAATTTTTGTTTTATACAGAAACTAACCAGCATGTAATTGCTGAGGTTGCTTGCCTTCCCTTACGACCAAGAATCACACAAACCACACACCAGGAATGTCTTTCGGTTAGAAGGAGTCATTTGGTGCATAGGTCACTATGCAGTACTCAGCAAAAAGACCCATTAAGTGCAATGGGGCTTCCTTCCAAATGACATGCACATAGAATAATGACCTAAGCTTCAGTCAGAAGCTTTACTGGCTGTTGAGTTCTGTGTCCACCGAATCATGGCATGCGTTTACACTTCCATAGTCAAAAGCCCACACCTAAGCCTCCATGGGATACCTAAATCAACTTTATTCACAATCACAGTTATCCAATTGTCACACTGGATGGAATAGTCTTCTTTTATATATAAACAGAACACAAAAACTGTTTTTAAATAAAGCAATTAAAAGATAAAATTATCATTTCAATGACATCAAATCACATGAATTATTCTGAATCCTACACATGAACACAGAGGAAATGAAACCAAATTCAAATTGTATTACTGCTCCCTCTGAAATTCTCCATGCTCGCATGGATGACCTTGAGCTTTTTCCTCAGCTCCTGTTAGCCATCTCCATCTTTGGTCCTGAATAAACACATTCCTATCCCCACACCACATGGAGGACAAGATAAGATGCTTTCTTACTGCCCCCCACAAACCAATGGTATCTTGGGCCAGATTTTTGTGTGTGCCCACAAACAAGCCCTCTGACATTGATCTTGCACAGGCAAAAAGGAATGGGGGAGCAGAGGGGGCTTAGTACAAGGAAAAAGTGCTGATTATCTCCTTATGTAATCTTTAGAAATTGAGTTTAGGTGCAAATGCAACTCTGAAGAAGTGAAAGCTGATGGCAGCACGATTATCTTATTTCAGTCTGGCAACACTGTTTCTCTTGCATAAAGAATTATGGCTTGTTGCCGGCTTCTCCCATGTTACATGAGAAGACTCGTCCAGGGCATTCTGCTCCCTGGGACTGGGACTGGTGGGGGAGAGGACTGCTGCATGTCACTTTAAGAACTGCTGCTGCTGCAACTGCCCCCTCCCCCAGCTTTCCTCCAGACCCCAACACAAACCATCAGGGCTAAGTGCCTGTGCCTGGCCTAGCAATTCTAGCTGCCCTTCCTTGGCATAAAAGCAGGCCTGAAGGGGGCAACCCCAAAGGGGATGCACCCCTTCAGGATGCCACAAGGTTGAATGTGCCCTTCTTGTTGTCCCTCACCACCCTCTGCTTTTGTGGGCCTATCCCTGTGACAGTGGATGAGAGGGTGTCTGTAAGGCCAAGTGAGGAGATGGCGGGAGTCCCAATTAATGTAGAGGGAGATATGGTACTAGGATGGGGACTGGTCAGGTAAGGGGAATGTGGCCCAGACCACTGACACCTGTGTCATGTTCTGCTTCTCTCCCCACCTCTGCACTTGATGGTTGCCATATCAGCTGGCCCTTGGATCACCTGATGCTGCTTCTAGATGCCAGATAAGTGCAGAATAAAACCTCAGGCTGATCATGGCGAGACAGCTGATTTGGCTTGTATAACTGAGACCTGGGTGGGTGAACAAGGAGGAATTAGTCTTTCCCAGTTGTGCCCACCTGGGTACTTGGTACAGCGTCAGGGGAGACATGAGTGCTGGACAGGGAGGGTTGCTGTGGTTGATAGGAATGCCATCTCTCCAGGCATCTTGTTCATTGGACAACTAGTCTGGTGTCTTTGTACCTTGTGTTGGGCCAGCGGGAAAAATGGGGGATTCTGCTAGTGTACTGCCCACCTTGCAATTCATCAGTCTCCCTACCTGAGCTGAGGGAGGAGGTCTCAGATGCGATGTTGGAGTCCCTCAGGCTGTTGGACTTGGGGGACTTCTACATTTATGCTGAGGGCACTCTATCCAGGCTGGTTCAAGATTTCATGGTTGCCATGACAACCATGGGACTGTGTGAACATGTCACTGGCCAGTGCACATGGCAGGACCTACTCTACTGGATTTGGTCTTCTTGGCCAGATTTGAGGATGATGTTCTGAGTGTGGAGGACTTTGATGCAGTCCCTTTGTCCTGCTCAGACCACCGCCTGCTGAAATTGAAACTTATGGTAGCTTTTTCCCTCTGCAAGATGATTTGCTCCTGAAGGCTATTGGATCCAGATAGTTTCTAGAGGGCTCTGAGGGGTACTGACTGACATGGCTGGTGCTCCTGTTGAAGCCTGGTCACTCTGTAGAATGCAGAAATGATCCAAGCTGTTGACATGATTGCTTCCGAGTGCCCTCTCTGTTGTCAAGCTCATATAGCTCCATGGTATATCCAGAGCTCAGTCTGGTCCAGTTTTACTGAATGAGTTTTAGTCAATACAGCTTGAGGATGTGGAGAAGGTTTGGACAGGTTTATGCAGCCACCTCTGTACTTGCTCCTTGCTCCTCCTGGCTTACAAAATCCAAAAAGGAAGGGATAGCCAGTTGGGCTGGGGAGATCATCAACACCTCTTTGTGAGAGGAAATTGTTCCATGCTCCCTTAAAAAGGTGGTGGTGGAACCACTTCTTAAGAAAACCCCCCTTGACCTGGAAAATGCAAACTGCTGCAGGTTGATAACAAATTCCTTTCCTGGGCAAAGTTCTAGAGAGGGTGGTGAAACTGGTGAAGCTGATTATTTGGATCCATTTCAATCAGGCTTAAGGCCTGGTTTTGGCAAAGAATCAACATTGGTTGCTCTGTATGATGCCCTATGCTGGAAGCAAGACAGGAGTGTGACCCTATTGATACTGCTGGACCTCTTTGCGGCTTTCGATACCATTGACCATGGTATCCATATGGAAAGGCTGGCTGAGATGAGACTGTGGGGCACTGCATTGCAGTGGTTCCACTCCTACTTGGAGGACCTTCTCCAGAAGGTGGTGCTTGAAGAATATTGTTCAGCCCCATGGATTCTCCAGTTCCTCAGGGGTCTGTTCTTTTCACCATGCTATTCAACATTTATATGAAACTGCTGAGTGAGGTCACACAGAGTTTTGGAGTCCATTGCCATCGATATTCCCATGACATGTGGTTCTATTTCTCCTTTTCATCATCAGCACATGAGGCTGTGCAAGCTAAAGTAGTCTCTGGCTACGGTAATGGACTGGATAAGGGCTAACAAAATTACTTAGCTGACACTGGCCATATAAATCCTTTACAGGGTGGAAGAAACATGAAAACATCTATCACCTACATGTTTATTCCACCCTTCACTGGATGCATGTAATTCCCCAAGTTTTGAGGGTGATGGACAGCCACAGTGGATTACACTGTTACCCACCTTTGTTTTGGTTCATCACAACTGAGAGCAGATTAAGCCAAAACCTACCCACCTTTTCTCAAGAAGCATTTGGAGGGGTAGACCTGTTATGTCAGTTCAAGAAATGCATCTTGCAAATATAACTACTAGCCTCCAATGGAAAGAAATAATTATAATTATGATGGAAAGAAATTATTAATTAATGGATTGGATATAATTTGATTTAAAAATGCTAGAATGGTTTCAGGAAAATATAACGATTGATCAAAAAGTGCTTAAGGTAAGCCAGCAGGCACTCCAAATCATATAAGATCCTTGTCATTAGTTCAACTCATCATTTAATGGAATTACTCCATTATATGGGTATGGGATCCAGCAATTTCAAGTAGGAATTTTGTTCTAGCAGGGGTGGTCCACATGTGCACAGAGGGGTGTTGTGTAGGTGATTCCTCTTTAAGAGCCCTACATGCAATTTATAAATGAGATTCCCCTCAGTGCAATATCAGTTCTACAGCTATTATCTCAGCTGTTTGTGGGAATAGGGGGAATTAATCCAGGTCTACCTCTCCCCCCATCCCTCTCTCAAATAGGGGACTTGCTCTGTCATAACCATTTAAACTAACTCTGACTAACCATTTAAATGGCATGTGCATATAGACTTGGGTATTAAATACCTTTAGTCTAAAAAGCTTAAAGGGTGTAAAATACCCCCCCCCCATTACTTTATTTACTTTTGCAGTAAAAACAAGTTGGAATTTGAATGAATGAAAATGAAATAAAAATGTTTATCAGATAATTCATTTTAACTTGGTTTTGGAGGCACTGTTTTACCACAAAGTAAAACAGTTTTATCTACGGCCTTGAATGCATGTAACAATAATTCAGAAAATGGGTTGAGCATTGGCTTGTTTTTGAATCATGAATTGTTTTGAATCATGGGCTCTCATTCCATGCAAATCCTATAATATTTTAACTCTGGGTTGTTAACCACAAACAGTGCAGTAAGAGATCCTTTTTTCCCAGTTTGGTTGTGAACTGTGTGTTGTTCATGGTTAATGTTACAAAGAGTTCAAATGGAATAGGAACCCACAATTTAACAATAACCTATGATTCAATCACAATGTGTAGTCAGGGTTGTTGTTGAGAACCAGATCTATGTTCACTTCATTAAAAGGTCCCAAGGGGGTTAAACTAAGAGCAGTGAAACTGACCACACTTAGGCTATCCCTGTGCGTCTTTTATTCCCCTGTAAATCCCCTTTAAAAAGGGGCCCCTTTTACTTATCTGTCTGACATTTAGAAGGACTAATGCCATGTGAAATATGTAGAACACCTGTAAATTCAATGTCATTTGCATGAAAAACATTTTAAGTTACATGCAGCAGAAGATTACATTAGTCTTCCAGTTAAATTAGTGAGAAAAAATCCAAATGAATGAATGCACTTCAAAGCAATGGAAAATTTAAAATTAAGTGAGTATAAGTGAAAACAAAAAGGAGCATGATAATTTTCCTTGCACACCCCTGGTTTTCAGATATCTGCAATGGCAGGAGCCACAGTAAAGAGGTGTGCCCCCCAGTAGAAGAGATCCCAAATGCATCTTAAGCAAATAGTTTTGTGGTGTTGATATTTTTCCCATGCACAATAGCAGCTTCAATTATATGCAGCATTTTACCTATGGAAATCATTCTAATGCAGGCTCAGGTTACCAGTGTCTATGCCATAATGTCTAAGAATTCAAAGCTCCCTGAAAAACCTTCACATATTACAATACATTCTAGGGAAATGTAAATACTGACTGACAAAAACTGGGAAACTCCAGAGATGTACTTTGTTTATCGTAATGCCATTGTTTCTGCTTTAAAATATTGCATTGTTTCCCCTGTTCACCTATGGATATTCAGTAGTCAAAATATTAAAAATGGCCACATTATCTACCTCCACTTGATACTTAGCCTTTGAGTGTGGTTGGATATCTTGCTCTCCCACCACTATGATATTTATTTATTTATTTATTTATTTATTTATTATTTACAGATGCATCGATCTAAAACTCTGCATAAGTGTCAGCACTCTTTACCTACATAGTGCTTTATGCATTCAATGTGAGACAGTAGTTCACAAGAGTTCAATGTGAGACTCTTTCCTGGAAAGAGAATGCAACTGCAGGTGGCTTCTCCATTCACTTGGCTGAGAGAACTATTCTGGGCAGAGGAACTCCATGTTCCTAAATAGCAGCTAATAGAAAATTAAATAGAGGTGAAGGTGCTTTACATGAAAGCTCAAGACAAGTGCATTCCTACCTCTTCCCCATACAGCTAATAATTCTTTTGTCAATGTATTATTTACCCCATTTGCCAACACAAAATGTTGTTTTCTGCTTTCAACTCAGTTATGCAAAACAGGCTGGATCTTATATAAAATTTTGCAGAAACTTTCAGTAGGATTCATTTCTAAATGAGTAGGCATAAGATTACAGCCTAGAGTTGTAATTACTAATCTGCTTCTGCCCATTGTTGTCTATGGATAATCAAAAGCAAGCACCAGATGGGCTCCTCAAGCTATTACAGTGGAGCAGAAGCAATTAACTTCATGGTATGGTAGTACAATGCCTGACTGTATGGGACGATGCCTCTTTCCTTTGGAACAGCACCTTCATGAGTTGGAGAAGTCGACCATGCGGGGCCACATGGTTATTTTGCTAACCCCACCAGCTAAAGTCTAGCAGAGGTCAAAGAATCCTATCAGATTGCAAGGACCAGAGGAACTTGTCCAGTTGAAGTTTATTGTCTAACCAGATGTGGTTCAGAAGAGAGCTTCTTTCTTAAAGGGAGCTCTGGGATGCAGTCACACTGCATCCCTTTCTATGGACAGCTGCAAACAGGGGCTTTCTGTTTGCAGCTGTTCTCTTGAAAGGAACTGGTCATCACACTGGGATGCCAATAGTCTACATAAGACATGCTGTGACCTTGGTGAAAAGAAAGCACTTCCTTTACATAGTGGATGAAATACCTTCACTAAGAGGAAAAAGAATCTCACCAGCAGTATCCCACACTTCCCTTTCACAATCCTTTTTCTTCACCCACCTGGTTCTCACCTAATGTGTGGTTTCCACACTAGGGAGCTAACCTTGTGAGGTAGGCCGAGGGCTTTCCCAGCCATGGAACTCTGCCATTTCAGAATTGGTTAGTCTGTTTTGAGTTAAGCAGTTACAGGTGTGGTTTCTAATGTATTCAGGAGATATCAAATGGAACAGGGAAATCAGTTGAATTTATGAAGAATGTGGCCCTGTGCTTGTCCTTCATGGCATAACCAGCTACTACAAGACACTGAGAGAAATGGCAACAGGTCAAGACTAACCAGTCATATTCACAATGGCAGGAGGAAGAGAAAACAAGACCATTGTTCTTCACTTCTTGGAAAGAAGAATATTTGTTTTTAAAATCCTTCATTAAACCAAATAAACAAAAGAAAGATAAAGCCACTTTTGGGCCTGATCTTTTTTTTCTCCTTGATAACAGAATACAAGTAGCTCTTTGCACATATTCAGTTGCCAGGATTTCTTAAATTACCAGAGATTTTCCTTCAAATCCACAATGAGGAAGAAAAGAAACTTTGCAACTTCTTTCTGTCTCGTGCCAAGAGAAGATGTCATCACTTCCCAAAAGCAAGCAAGAAGGCACCCCTTTGGCCACCAATGCTAAAAGTGGAGGTGGGGCAGTGGCATTGGGGTTTGGAAAGCTCAGAACTGCTGATAAAGGAGGTGATATTATACCATAGCAATCTGAATTGCTGATGCCAAGGGCGGACCAAGCAGACTTCAGGACAGGAAGACAGCATTGGTAGAAAACAGAATGTGATGGGCATCAATTCACAGCAGGCCTCCCATGCACAGCACAGGACAGGGAAGAAGCACCCAAGATAGCCTCCTTTAGCAGCAGCATGTGCAGCATGCCATCGGGCAGGTCAGGGCCTGTTCTTCTTAGGTTTTACAGGCACCTCAACTGGAAAGACTATTTTCTTTCTGACCCTCGCCGTTGTGGTTTCAGTGCTCTAGTGACTTATTCGTTTCCTACTCTACTCACTTCCCAAATTCTGAATTCAAGCACATAACAGAACTGCTAACATGCCTAAGGAAATCTGATTAATTAGAATCCCTTCCTCATTCAGTCCTTGTAGCTTCCAAGTTGTGGGGAAAGGACTGGAAAAGTGCAGGAGCAAGAGCCAGGCCATATAGGTAAGGGTTGGGAGGAACTCTGCTATGTAGATGCCAAGGAAGGAGGAAATCTTAGCCCTCAAGTTTCTGGGTTCACCCACAGGTAGCAACATTCAGAATTAACTACATATCAAAGGTTAGAGAAACTGGCAAGTAGAATATTCAACCCGCACCCCCTCCCAGTCTGGTTAGGTTCATCAAGATCTTCCCTCCAGCCCTATCTTTCCTGCCATGCTACTCTAAGTGCTGCGATAGGTCTTGATGATGTCCTTGATGGCCCGCCTGCAAATAGGACAACAGGCGTTGGCCATCTTCTTGAGTTTGAGCCCACATGTGAAGCACAGGCACATATGTCCACAGGAGTAAATCACGGTGTCCACCATGTTCTCGTAGCAGATGGTGCACTCATCATTCCAGGACCCTGAGATGGAGGGGGAAAGAGGGGATTCTGGCATGCTGACGGGCGAGTTTGGAGCTGTGCCTGCAAGACAAGAAATGCCATCACTCATTGTATTTGCCATCAAGTCTATTTTGGAGTCCTGCAGAGCCTATGGTTGGCTCCGTGTTCCCTTCATGTAGAGAGCTGATTTCAGATCTGTAAACTTTTTCTCCCTCCTCCCAAGGAGGGCAGAAGCATCACCTGGATTCTTCATAGAAAAGTGGTACAATAGGTTTATTTGATGTCCCACCCTCCTTCCCCCCCCCACTCTTTCTTTATTAATTATATTGTTTATTATTGTATTTGGATAGATTTATGTTCTTCCTTTTTATTTATCCCTTCCCCTTTTTATTGTGACATTGTAAATATTTAAATTATTATTATTAAAATACATATTAAAAGATTACTTCTGAAACAGTGGAGAAGTTTTTGACAGGCATGGAAACAGATTACTCAGCACCTTGTTTAGTCTTGTGTTCCAGTTTCATATAAATAGTCTCCATTTCCATTTTCCTGGTTTCTTCTATAAATACCATTTTAATTTGCTTAGAAAAACAATCCCATACATTGACATAATATTTGCCAATTTCAGTATTTGAAAACTCTTCCAATATTAAGTAAACTATCCTAATAATACAAACTAACCTAACCTTATCTTCCGATATTCTTTTTTAGCACAATCCTCCAAGTGACTACTTGGAAGTAAGTCTCACTGGACTTTATGGGCCTTGCTCCAAGGTTGGTGTCTGTAATATTGTTAACAGTAATATTATAAAGTGTAAATTCAATCTTTCCTGCACAATCGCATCCATAGCTTTCCATGTTTATTTTCATGATTCCACTGTCTGGCTAGGCCTGAGGAAAATTGGAGTTTGGCAACATCTAGAGGGATGTGCATGAATATGCCTTTCAACAATGCTACAATTGCATTGGTTGAGCATTTGAGAGGCAAAGGTAGAAGAATCTCCTTTCACCTTCCCCCTTTCCTGGCCAAGCAGCTGGAAGGCAAAATATGAACTTTTTTCCAAAAGGCAACACATGCTCTGTCCCATGAATGCTCGATTGGACTTTCACTATTACACCAATCATAGTGTGCAATATTATCCCTTGAAATTCCCATTCACTTTGTGAATGGGAGATTTCCTCCTCCCCCCATTGAAAATGCACTGCAGAATTTTAAAAAATTCATATTATGATTTCAAATTTTGAAGGCTTAAAAAGAATCTGATTCCTGTTCCTAGTGCTTTCTAAGAGATGAAAGGATCTTTCAAAGTGGGACCTTTGAAAGGAAAATGGGTATAAGAAAGGTCAGGCTCTTATAGGATGCAGTAACTCAAACTGGAAAGGATACAGCTTGGCACTACAGAAGATGTACTTACCGCTAACTGAGCTGCCAAGCAGGCCAGAACTGCATGTACTCAGAATGGGATCGGAAACACCACTGCAGAGGACGGAGGGTGAGTTTGGAGATGAGGTGGGTGAGCTTGGAGCAGATGGGCCCAGTCGCTCAGTCATGAGAGTAGAACCTGCACAATGGAAGGAAACTTGGATATCATTTAACAGCTCTTTTCCTGAGAGCAGGTCATGGTGGTTAAATTAACTCCATATGGCAGGTGAGGGCTGGACTGAAATCCCCACTCAGCTGCAAAGTTCGTTTACATCACCCTGAGCATCCAGAAGGAAAAGTGGAAAAATGCAGTAACATTATTAAAACTGAGCCAGAAAATTGCTAGTGAGTCATCCTGGGCTTAGGACCTAACGGCTGATAGCCATCTCCTGCAGTTCTTTTGAAGGAAGTATAAGATGGGAAGTCTAGTTACTGTGTCTCTTCAACCCACCATACCAAAGGGACCAGGTCTCCTACTTTATGGAAGACATTCTTTTGTCTGAACTGTGCTCTCTGTGAAGGACCATCCAGTCTAAGTCTCATTTAAAGGTAATGAACCCTGGAAAGGCCTTGAAATTGTCAGCCGTTAGCCCTGGGCTGTAGACCAAGCAGACACACAGCTTACCCAGTCACAGTCTTCCCTACTCTGGGAAAATAGTTTTCTATTTTTATATTATGGTAATTCTTTGAATGCTAATACAAATTAGTATATGTAAAGCTGTGTTCTCTTTATTCGATGATGGAGTTCTCTTTTTTTGGCAGTGCGTAAATCCTTCACACTCTAAGGATTCCTTGCTGGCTAACTCGAACCCCCACTGAGGTGCCTGCTGCAAGTAATAGTAAGTAGTAACAGTAGTAAGATGTCCCAAAGGTCTGAGCTGCAGAATGAGAACTGTTTGTTAGTAAGCGGGCAAGCCTCAAAACCCCAAAGTTTATATATAAACATCCTAGACCATCTGTAATCTCTTTGCTCTAAGAACCTAAACCAGATATTATGTTTTTGTTGGTCCATCTCATTTATTTCTATTTACATGCAAAACTATCACCATGGCTCAAACTTCACATACCCTTTTTAAGTCAAACAAAACAGCACAGTGACAAAGAAGCATTTCGGAGAGGGACCACAGCTCAAACGTAGTATGGCGTATGGTTGCCTGATGTGAATCTCTGGTTTCACCCCCAGCATCTCCAGGTAAAAGCAGCCAGGTGATAGGCAAGAAGAAGCCCTTCTCTTTCTGAGCCCCAGAGAGCCATTGCCAGGCAGGGTAGAGACTCCTGGGCTAGACAGACAAATAGCCTGACCTCTTATAAAGCAAATTCCTACAGTCCTAAAGTATAAGCAAGCTTTCCCAGTTTTCTGCTTGCCCTATTTAGATATTTTGCATCTCTCCCAACAGACTAGTTACCCATGCATTGGGAATGCATTTAAAATAGGGGTGTCAAATCTGACCTCAAGGGGGATCATGTTCTTTTAAAATCAGCATAAAAAGAGGATGCTGGCTTTTTGATATTGCTGCACTGTGATGCAGTATTTTTATATAAAACCACACTGAGTGAAATACTCCCTTCTTTTTCTGGACAAATACTTGTTTCAGTTGCGACAAAATATACCAAGGGTTTTGCGGTGCTTTAACTCACTTATCATGGCATAAAATTTCATAGACTGTAGTTCAAACACTCCCCAGAAGTTGTTACCCATGCTCTTATATCTAATACCAAAATATGTAAATCAGTCAAGCCTGACTTCCTCACTGTTCCGGGGACTGGCATTATCAGAGTTGGGCTCTGGTTCATGCATCAGCCATATGCTATTTATATTCTGAATTTCTTGCAGAACACCATTAACTTGTGACAAAAATATAAACCACTGAGAACCTCAAAAAAAACCGCTATCCTAGCACCTATTATGTTGAAGCGCATTGCACCAGATTCCTCCACTGATATGGTCTACAAATGCCATCAGCTAAAACATTTCAGCTGGTGCTGCAGCACCTCTACCTAGCAAACACTGTACCTTTGTATTTAGTCACAGTGACTTCAGCTTAGGGGCAAACATGCATCTTCAAATCAACAGCACCATCATGAGTCACATGACTCCCAAGGATGGCAACATTCTTGTGCCATTTCCACAGAGCACTCTTTTCTCTTTTCTTGTATAGTTTTATCAACCAGATATTTCTGAAATACATTGAAATCTGAAATATACTACCAATAGTTTTAATCTTTTGGACTAGAAGCACTTGTAAAGTTTGATTCCATCATTAACCAGAGCTTAGATCATACAATCACAGAATAGAAGAGCTGGAAGGGGGCATGAAGGCCTTCAGGTCCAACCCCCTGCTGCTGCAGGACACCAATTCCCACTCAGATGGCTGTCCATTTATTTTTGAATGTCTTTAGTGTGGGAGTGCCCACCACCTCTCTAGGCAGCTGGTTCCACTGCCATATTGCTCTGACAGTGAGGAAGCTTTTCCTGATATTTGGGTTGAATCTGGGTTGTCACAGCTTGACTTGATTATTTGACTTCCTCTTTGTGACAGGCTTTGAAGTACTTGTAGAGGGGTATTATGTCCCCCCTCAGTCTTCTTTTCTCAAGGCTGAACATGCCCAGTTCTCTCAGTCTCTCCTCATAGGGCAGTGTTTCCAAACCCTGGATCATTTTTTTTGCCCTCCTCTGGACCCTTTCTAATTTTTCTGCTTCTTTCTTAAATCTTGGGGCCCAGAACTGGACACAGTATTCCAGATGAGGTCTACCTAGTGAGGAGTATAAGAGGACTACTACTTCTCATGATTTGGAAGTAATACTTCTGTTAATGCCTCCCAAAATAGCATTTTTCCTTTTGGCAGCTGCATTGCATTTTTGGCTGATATTGCCTATTGTCCGCAATTACTCTGAGATCTTTTTCTTTTTCAGTCCTGTTGAGCCACATATTCCCCATCTTGTAATGATGCACTTGGTTTCTTTTTCCTAGGTGGAGGACTGGGCACTTAATGAATCTCATTCTGTTGCTTTGGCACAGTGTTCAAGTTTATCAAGATCATCCTGGATCTTCATTTTTTCTAGGGTATTTGCTATTCCACCCAGTTTTGTATCATCTGCAGATTTAATTATCTTTCCTTGTACTTCCTCATCCAAATTAGTCATGCAGCAGGTACATATTGTACAATTACTTGTTGGACATATAAGCACGTCCTGAACACATAACTACATGCTTCTAGCATCTACCCAAAATACACCACAAAATCCATGGCCTGTAGACCAAGGTCTTGTTCTGACTTGTCAGAAATGGACTCATGACTTAAGGATTTACCAGAACCCTTGCTTATACTACAGTGGGCCCAGATTATTTTCTTCAGACAGGCCTTTGGTGGTAGTAGGCCTATCCTTGCTTACAGACAGCTCCTTAACCTGAAACAACCAGACACCAGTAACAGTACACTATGTAACAGCAACTAAAAATAGGGACCAAACTTGCAACAAATTCCATTGCCAACCCTCAGGCAACACTATTACAGGACAAAATCATGTCAGCCACAAGATGAATTGTACATTCACCTGCTTATCTTCCAAAGCAGAATATATTCTTATCTGCCAGTTGTTAACTTAGCAGTGCCAGAACAATGGGCAGGGTAGTAACTCCACATACATTTACCCCTCTGGAAATTTACGAGCCTTTACAATCAAGATTAACTTCCAGTTAGATGTCACAAGACTTTTTCCCTCCACCCATCTACCTATAAAAACCTTAATTGTGCAAATGCCTTTTCAAGAACCAGGATCTGACAACCCTAAGCATAGAACTGGAAACAGGAATCTCAATTATGCTCTCTAGCTTATTTTTAAGACAGGAAAGCATGAAGTCCAAGTTATGTTCTCAGGTTTGATCTTCAGAAATTATGGTACCTGCCTCGGCCTCTTTGTCCTTGCTGACTTAGTTTCATACTGCTGCTTAATGTCAGTTTTCCATTTTTAGAGGTGGGGGGAAGCAATAAAATGAGTAATGCTTTCACATTATATTCCAAATGCCAAGATCATAGAGGGCAATGTACTGAGAAAAGGCAGCTGTTTCTAATGGGCTGTTTCTGAACATCAGCTTTTGGCTAATCATGGCCATCCTTGACTATTTGTCCTGGCAGCCAGTGCAGCTCTGTTTTTTCCATTTGTGTGTGTGCATGCGTACACATGTGTGTGTGTGCTAACTGATTATCATCAGTTCAATAATAGGAGAGAGAAGAGTGGTATGGGGAAACAATAGCTTGTAGCTCAAAACATGAGCAGGGTTCTCTATTCCAAACCAATTTCACGGGAAGACTTTGTTTTCACTTGAAGGCAATTGTTCTTTTAAACTAGATAATACTGTTTCCATAAATCCCATGTTGCCCCAGTTCAAAGGAAGGAAAACATAGAAGGAAAACTGCTATCATCTATGCAACTTGCCCAATATGGTTTGATGGATGGTGTGTTAATGTAAGCAAAAAGCAGGAGATAGGGTTGTTTTAAGCTAGATATGCACAGATATGCATAACTTCCTGTGGCCAAGCATAACTTAATCAAAAAGAGCCAATAGCTCATTGGTGCACGATTCATGTCCAGGTTCAGGATGTGGCAGCTCGACTACAAAGGATGTATTGTGCAGAGCAGCTGTTTATGAAATGCCAAAAAGAGGGCACCGATCTATATAAAATTCACATGCGCTCACCTATATATGTTGATACAAATCTAAAAATTCTTATAATTTGAACAGAAATACAGTGCATTTCACTAAAGTATGGAAGGCTATGACCAGGTGACTTGTGTGCCTTTGTCAGCCTACTCCCCAGGCGCTGTTAATGTAAAACTTCAAGGAGGGGGGGTGGAGGGCACAATTTCAGTAAAGACTGGAATGAGACAAATGGCTGAAGTCCCAGTTCCACATGCTGTGAACCTGATCCAGTTGTGTGGGGGAACACAGGCTACTAGTTAAACAAGGATCAGTAGGTAAAACCATAAATAACCATTTGAGGATCCCTTTTAACTCAGTGGCCAGGTCCACACATAAGAAGCAGCCATGGTGGTTTCCACCATGTGATGGGCTGCCATGTTGCCTGAAATCTGTTGTGGACTTACTGTGCAGTACATTTGGTTTCCACGGACCATGG